GAAAAACTGCTGCCATATGATGGTTTGGTCAGAGAGAAAGAAGATATTCGTGTGTGTGTGTGTGTGTGTGTGTGTGTGTGCGCACACGTGCGTGTGTTTTGAAGTTGAAGTCATAGTCTATTACTCCCAAGCTTGCTGTATACTGAATAGCCATTTAGCAGTGAGGAGCTACTCTGTTTTCTCATCCTTCCTGGTTAATAGGCAGGGTGATTTTTGTCTTCCTTAGGTAATGTCGTCCCGTACATGCTCTGGAGACTCCTACTATAATAAGCATGGTGAACTGTATAAATAGAGAGGAAAATGTTGGAATTGGTTGGGCACAGCTGGCCCAGTAATGGGTTTTGTGGTGGAGTCTTCGGAACCTGGGTGTACTTGTGTGGAGACTGAGGCACAGGCGGCCAGGAGCAAGCTAGTGTTCAGTGGCTCCTTGTCTGCCTGCACTGCTTCTGAGCTGTCGCTGAGCTTCTGTTGCATGGAGCCTGATGCCAAGCTTAGACCTGGGAGAATAGGACCTTGTCCTTGCTTTCAGGGGACTCTCCGCTGGGGAGCCTGTTTGTATATGCCGTGTCTCTTCACGTTTCAGGGGCACTATCATGCTATCAGCAAAGCCCTCTGTGCTCTCCAAAGCACCCACGGAGCCTTGACCTTCTTACCTGCCTCTGCACCCATGGATCCTTGGCCTCTGCACCCTGGGGAAGCTTCCAGTCCTTGCAGACTTCCCCAAGCCATTTTATCATCTTGCATTTTTACTTCTGTTTTCCTGTTCACCTTGGTCACTTGCTGTTTCCCTCTGCATTTTCTGCACTGAGCCTCTTCCAAGCTGTTGTTATTATAGTCCACCAGTGTTCCTCGTTCCTGTTTTTATTCTTTTTGTCTTTCATCTGAAATTCTGGAGGAAGACTAGTGTCAGCGTTATTTCTCCAAAACTGTTGTTTTCTAGGATGCTACATAGTAAATGCTAGAAATAGTGGCATGGAGTGATTTCCTTTTGTACTTAAATATCCAGGTTGCCTTAATTTCCCTCCTGAGGATATAAGACTTTTGAAATATAAGAAGGAAGGGCCAGATATCTCAAGCAAATAGCAGGCCCTTGGAATGGTAGGTAGCTGTTGCTCTGAGTGGTTGCTTGCTGCCTCAGCCCTTCTCACTGATGTAGATTTGTGATTGGGATTGAGATTTGGTCTATCCTATACCTGAGGTTCCTTCTACCTCAGATTGGCATTCATTCAGTTTCCCATAAACTTCAGTCTTCCTTATTTAGGTCACCAGTGAACCAGTGAAATCTCATGACATTGGTCAGACACTTGGATTCTGGGGTTTGAAATGGTGTGTCTGTTATTGTTGAGTATGCTAGTGCCAACATTGACTAAAAGAAACTAACCTGAGTGGGGGGCAGGCTGACTGACTGGCTTGCTGTTACTGTGGAGAAGAGAGGTTGTGTTTCTTAGGAAACTAGAAATAACTCAAAAGTCTTCCATTGTGGGGGTGCAGAGGTGGACAGACAGCACTTCCTGAACTGCAGCATCTAAAGAATTATGGGTTCCTGTGAACCACATATCCTGGTATTTGAGAACTGTTTTAATTTGTGACTTGATTCCCAGTTCACCACAGAAACATCTCCTGTCTCCCTGAAGTACTGTCACACCCTACCTGTTGCAAACACTTTAGGAAGCCCCAGGTTTGTTGTGCTGAAAGGATGGTCTTGAGATTTGTCCAGCTCTTCCTTGGACTGCTGTGTACCCAGGGACCTGAGTAGCATTGCTGGTGTAGATGCAGACTGTAGTCTATTTTCATTCTGTGGCTGTGTTCAGAGCAGTAAATATTGAATATCAAATACAACACTGAGTGTATTAGCAATTTCCACTCTGAGTAAAATGCTTTGCATTATCTAGGAAGGTTACCATGAGCCATGTGATGTCATTAACTATTGGAAAACTGGTGTGAGTTTAAGGAACTAGGTTTCTTTTGTATGTTTTAATTTATTTATTTATTGTTTGTTTGTTTGTTATAGGGTTTCTCTGTAGCTTTGGAGCCTGTTCTGGAACTATCTCTTGCACAACAGGCTGGCTAGCCTTGAACTCGTAGAGATCCGCCTGCCTCTGCTTCCTGGGTGCTGGAATTAAAGGTGTGCACCATTATTGTCTGGCTTATTTTTATTTATTTTGTGAGGTAGGGTCTCTCTAGAACTCACTACATAGACCAGGATGGCTTAGAACTCAGAGAGATCTGCCTGCCATTGCCTCTTGATTGTTGGGATTAAAAGTATGCACCACCATGGTTTTTATTCTTAATCAATATTTAAATACCTTATGTTATTTAGGTTACTACTAGGTAACTAGACAGTTTGGTTCTGGTAAGCCATTGATTTCTGTGTTGTTTTTATAAGCCTGATAGTATTGCCTCTTTAAGTTAACCCACACATATCTAAATGAGAGACCAGAGCCCATTTGATGTGGCTAGCTAGCTAAAATGTTTTCCATGGGTGCAAATGTGAAGTTTTCTGAATAATGAGATGTTTTCAGATATTGTACCTTGAAATATGGCTGCTCTTTGATTCACAGTGAAGTTACCTCCTAATAAACTCACAATAGGGTAGAGACTATGCTAAGTTGACAGTCCACTTAATAGCCCCAAGTTGTGGATAGAGAGATGGCTTAGCAGTTAAGAAATCTTGCAGATTGTTGAGAGAACCTGAATTCAGTCCCAGCATCAATGTCAGGTATCTCACAACCATCTCTAAGTCCAGTTCCAGGGGATCTGGTGCCCTCTTCTGGCCCCCCAAGGCACTTTCACACATTCACATACAGAGATACACAGAACATGCACATACACAAAATAAAAAGAATAAAAATCTTTTAAAAAGTATAAAAACTATCTGAGTTAAGCATTCCCATAAAGAATTATCTCTCCTTTTGATCTTGTCATTGTTTAGACACGTAGCTTGATGCCATTGTCCAACATCTAGAGAATATTATATTGGACATTGACAGGCTAAGAAATGATTGACATCCCAGCACTCTAGAGGCAGGCGGAGGATCTCTATGAGTTCAAGGCCAGCCTGGCCTACAAGAGCTAGTTCCAGGACAGGCTCCAAAACTACAGAGAAACCCTGGCTCAAAAAAAAAAAAAAGAGAGAGAGAGAGAGAAGGAAGGAAGGAAGGAAGGAAGGAAGGAAGGAAGGAAGGAAGGAAGGGAAAGAGAGAAAGAAAGAAAGGAAAGATTGAGATCCCAAGGGTGATTCCACATCATACCCTCATCATTGGTGAGTATGCGCAGTGACACAGACTACAGCATATACATAAGGGCTGACAAAGCTGATAGAGGGAAAATCAGGTCTCCGATTTCCTGTTCTCAACAGCCCCTGCTTGAAGCCTTTATGTGTGTTCTAATACTTTGTTCAGATAGTCTTTTCAAGTGTTATGGGTTAATGGGCTTCTGATTCTGTGTTTGTATGTGGGTGTGTGTTTGAGACAGGGTTTCTCTCTGTAACAGCTCTGGCCTAGAACTTGCTTGATAGACCAGGCTGTCCTCAAACTCACACCTACTTCTGCCTCCCGAGTGCTGCTATTAAAAGCATGCTCCACTGCTTGGCTGGACTTCTCATTTTTAATTTTTTTATCTTTCACACTCTTCTATGAAGCTACTTCGTTTACTCCCCAGTAAAGGGAAACTCTAGGGGTGAGTAGCCCTGAAACTCTCCAGGAGGAGTCTCACCAGGATGACTAGAATTTTCTGATCCAGACACGCTACAAAGGCCTATAAACCTAGTATTTGGGAGACTGAAGCAAGAACGTTGTCATTCATTCAAGGCAAGCCTGGGCTACTGAATGAGACTGACAAAATCGCCATTTGTTTTTTAAAGGATTTTTTCTTCTGTGGTCTTACTTTCTCATAAGATTGTTTCAAGCTTGGAAGGTGTCTTGGTCCTACAATTTTATAAAAGGAGATTGCTGTTTAAAATGGGGTGCTGTGATATCCTGTTTCCTACAATAAGAAGCAGCTCAGCAGGCAGAGCATGAGGCTAGGGCATAAGTCCTTCATCTGTGACCTCATTTTTGTCTTCAGGACCCCTTACATTTTATTGATCTACCCTGTTGGCAAAGGATTTGGAAAGATTTTGCTAAAAGTCAGGGACTGATGCTTCAGGAGAACTTCTAAGAGTGGCAGTACTTTAGGACCCCAGAGATAATGCTGAGGCAGAGAAAAAGATAAGGGAAGGGGTCTTAGTATGGAAATGATAAGCTCAGTGATAGAGTGTTTGCCTAGCATGTACAAAGCCCTTGGGTTCAAATTTTTATAAAAAAGACTAGGAGTCTTCACACTATAACACTTTAGGCATTAAGTGGTCTGTATTCAAAAATGCCAGTCTTACTTATGTAGACAGTCTTTTACACATAAAATGCCTTCTGTTACTTAAAAGTTCAGTTTGTCTATTCAAAAATATGGTAAGGGACTAGAGAGATGCACACTGGTTAAGAGCACTAGCTGCTCTTTTAGAGGACCCAGGTTCAATTCCCAGCACCCACATGGCAGTTCACAACTGTCTGTAACTCCAGTTCCAGGGGATCTGACACCTTTATACCAATGCGGATAAAATAAAGTTAAATAAATTATTTTTAAAAAAATCTTTAAAAGACTCTGGTTAAGAGTATTTCAAATAAAAAAAAACACATTTGAACAAGAATCAGGATGCAATGTGATTCTTGGATTTGCTACAAGGACAAGGATTATACCTTTGAGTATGGACAGAATGTCAAATTCATTGTATTGTTAAAATAGCCCACACAGTCTCTCTCCTTTCAGTACAAGCATTTTAGATTCATTCATCTTGTCAACTCTGCCAGGTCTCAGCAGCTTTTGGGTGCTCTTTTGCTGGCATCTCCTGTTGAAGAGTTATGGTTGGGTTGGGCAGTGGCCCTGTCCTTGGTGCCCCCTTATCCTCCCTGCTCCTGTTCCTCAGCTTTCTGGAATAGGTCACTGTATAGTCCTTTCTCTCCAAGGAGGTGACGGTGGCGCATCATCTTCTGGAAACATATCTGTGGTTGCTCCTGCCACCCCTGCAGGAGGTTCGCGTTCCTCTTCCCGGAACTTAGGCTCTTCAGGGCCTGAGAAGGAAGAAGGAAAGAAGGTCCGGAGGCAGTGGGAGTCATGGAGCACAGAGGACAAGAATACCTTCTTTGAAGGCCTCTATGAGGTGAGTCGTAAACATGAGACAAAAACCCACAAGCAGTCATCCTCCTGAGTTCTCCCTGTTTACCTCATGTTTCTTCCCTTTGCTGCATAGCTGTTAAATGGGCAGGTTCTATCAAGGAGCCCCAGAAGTGGCCAGGGCAGTTGTTATCTCCTTCCTGGGGCTATTAGGATGAATCTTCTTTTTCAAGACTTGATTATGGCCGGGCGATGGTGGTGCACGCCTTTAATCCCAGCACTCGGGAGGCAGAGGCAGGCGGATCTCTGTGAGTTCGAGGCCAGCCTGGTCTACAAGAGCTAGTTCCAGGACTTCTTGCCTGGAGTATGACCTGCCTCAGGGCCTTTGCTTCCTTGGCTGTGCAGTGACTGATTTGGTGGGTATGCCGAAGTACAAAAGGACAAACAGATACCTACCCCTGTCATCCAGAAGATATTGCAGATAACTTAGAGCCAAATCCCCAGACTCACTGTCTACTGATGTGGCTATGCCCTGCCAGCTGTCTTCACTGGGAAGTTTGCTTCTCACAGCCCTGTAGGTATTTGTGAACACATTTACATTAACATCAAATGTATTTTTCACTGTGATCATTTTTTAAGGATTTATTTGTTTTAATTTTATATGTATGTGTATTCATGCAACATGCATGCAGTACCCCTCAGAGGACAGCAGATGCCAGATACCACTAGAACTGCAAGTACAGATGATGGTGAGCTGCCATGTGGGTGCTGGGAATTGAACCTAAACCCTCTGGAGTAACAGCCTATGCTCTTAACCACGGAGCTCTTTAATTCATTAAAACAAGAACAAATGCCTATAAATGTGCTGCAGCCATCGTCATTTCTTTATGTGCTATTTGGGCTAATTGTTGGTCCAATAATAGAGTTGAGTAGGTTGCAGTAGATGTGTCCCTTGGGCATGTGCCTGTATGTCTGTGTGTCTCCACCATCTCCAGGGTCTTGTGCATGCTAAAAAGGAATTTACTACCAGGATGATTCCCAAGCCTATTTATCCATTTTTATGATTTTTTTTTTTATTCCTTGCAGATTCTGTCATTGTAAATAACACTATAGTGAACATCTTTGTTTTCATTCCTTATTTTAGATAATTTCTTTGGCATGTTGTCTTAATTAGTGAGCCTTGTCCTCTTAATAGTTAATTCACTAGAGATAGGGTACACCTTGCCAAGTCTAGGAAGGACAAGCTCAACACACGAATGAGGCCTAGGAATTTAAATCATGAAGTATTTATAGAAGATTAGAAAAGGAGACACTTCTACTGGACTATAGACTTGGTTTCATTATATTCCTGTGGCTGGTATTGCTCCTTCCTGTGGCTCATAGGCTAAGTTCTGCCCCATTTCAGGTGGGTGTGATTGATATGTTCATGTGATTCAACTTTTGTTATCTATAGAGAGAATGAAATAGGTACATACAAGACTTGTTAGGAGAGTTACAAAATCTTTGAAACAGATGTGAAAGGGCTCTTTTTCTTTTCACAGTTATAATAAAGCACATCTGTATAGATTATATCTTCCTATCAGAAGACTTGTGATTCTTGATGGGTTGTAAGAGTGTGCAACTGTTAGTGAGTCTTTTCCTAAACTGTAACTACTATGGTGTTCTTTTTTCCTTCCTGGAAGACTGAGCTGTGCAACGTGATCTGGTCATCCAGCTGCAGAAAGTGAGGTGTGACACCTCTGCCATTCTTCAGGTGCATAGAGCATCGCCTCCAAGTTGCGCTAGCCTTGTTTCCTTTAGGTCTCCTGAAATCCTTGATTAGAAATAATGTTCTTAATGTTTTCTGTGGTTGTTACAGGGAGATGGAGAGAAGGGAAGAGAGTTATTCTAGTTTGGTTGCTATTGCTCTAATAAACACCATGACCAAAAACAACTTGAGGAGGAAAGGGTTTCCAACTGCCAGGTCATAAACTATCACTGAGGTTTTGATGTCAGGATAGGAACTCAGATATTGTGGGAATTCAGTCAGATAAGCCAATGGTATTGGGTGACTCAGCCCTATGGGCACGGTCTTCTTTGGGTACATGACCAGGTAAGAACTGAGGACGAGGGTCTTGCTCACGCTCTCTGGGACAATGAGGGAACTGGCAGAGCTATAGCTTAGCTTTCCCCTTGCCCCTGAGGAATGAGGTTCTCCAGCAGAATCAGTGGAACAGTTGGTGACTTGACCCAGACTCCTCATTCTCTCTTGTAGTCATTGCACACGGATTTGACTTAATAAAAGGTAAAACAGTCTTCAGGATTCCCGCTGTACCTGTCTTCCAATGTGACCTGACCCAGAAAGGCCCAGCAACTAGTCTGCATGGATGGCCATCCAGAGTAAATTGGATGCAGAAACCATGGAAGAACACTCCTTACTAGCTCTCTTCCCGTGGCTTGTTTAGATAGCTTTCTTTTTATACAACCCAGGATGGTATGCCCAGGGTCAGCGCTGCCCATACTAGGCTGAGTTCTTCCACGTGAACCATTTTTCAAGAAAATGCCCCACAGTTTAATACAATGGAGACAGTGCAAGAGTGTGTATGTCTGCCTTATGTCTCATTTGGGGTCTGACTAAAAGACCCTGGTGTCTGTTTGGCCAGTGTAATTGTCAAATGCACGCGCACATGAGAGTATGCATAAAAATACTGGGAATGAAACCTTTGTGCGTGCTAGACATGATTTCCCCCCATTGAATAGATTTGCACACTCTCACTACCTTTTTGAGGAACCTAGTCTGATTTATTTACCACCAGTGAAGACCTAGTTCACAGCAACACTCCTAACAGAGGAAACTTCTTGTCCTGACCCTGAGGGTACTGGTGACTGACCAGATGCAGGGACTCTGCTGCTGTCTTTTCTTGTCTATTTCTTCTCTCTTGCTTAAGATACCCACATCTCTAGCTCTGATGAGGACAATTTTGAGTGTGAAATCATTGTTTTTTTCAAGTGATAGTCGATCTGTACTCTCCCCTGTGACTAGCAATGCTAAAAGTGAGCCAAGGTGGTTGGGTGTGCCTGAGTGGAAGGACCTTGGACCTTGGCTAAGTCCTTTTGGTTTCAGTGGTGTTTTTGTATGAAGCCTATAACTGTGCTTTCATTTTATTTTATTTTATTTTATTTATTTATTTGGTTTTTCGAGACAGGGTTTCTCTGTGGCTTTAGAGCCTGTCCTGGAACTAGCTCTGTAGACCAGGCTGGTCTCGAACTCAAAGAGATCCCCCTGCCTCTGCCTCCCGAGTGCTGGGATTAAAGGCGTGTGCCACCATCGCCCGGCTCATTTTATTTTAAATCATTAATCTTTTTTGTTTCTTTTTGGTTTTTGTTTTGGGTGTTTTGTTTTATTTTGTTTTTCCAAGACAGGGTTTCTTTGAAGATCCACCTGGCTCTGTTTCCTGCATGCTGGAATTAAAGGCACATGCCGCTACCACCCTCCCAGCTCATTAATCTTTTTAACCATACTATACTTAATTTACTGCATTGGGAACTGTGGAGGCTTTGTCTCTGATATCAATCTCAAAATACCCTACCCTCCAGTGGCTTACCATCATATCAGAGACATACAATGCAGGGGGATTGTAGGGCACATACTCAAGTCTCACAGACAGTATAGTGTGAGAATACAGGTTCAGAAGTCATAAATAAGACAGGCCTCATGGCAGTGAGGTTGTCTGTGTCTCTTTCTTGTTCAAGTTACCAATTACTGAGGAGTTAAGTTAGCTTTTCAGCTGACACAGGAAGGTATTTTAGACCCAGCTTTACCTTTGCATGATTAGATGCCTGTGTTACCTCCTTTGTACAAGATTGGGTATCAGTCTGTTGCCGTGGGTTACCTCCAATTCCCCATCCTCTTAGTTTAGTCTTGAATATGCTTCCAGTTTAGGTTTTTTTAAAGGAATGAGTAAGCTTTAATTTAAATCAATTTATCTTTAAAACTATTTCAGACTTTAAAAATGTTATAAACGGCCAGTGAGGTGGCTCAGCAGGTTAAGCTGTTGTCATTATGCGTGACCACCTGTCTTGATCCCTAGGACCCATATAGTCAAAGGAGTAGACTCGACTCCCACAAGTCCCCTAACTTCCACGTTTGTACTGTGATGCATGCACTCACATGAACTCTTACACACATACATACACACTCCAAAATAAAATAATAAAAAACAAAATTTCCTAGCAGCAATGGGTCTTTGATTTATCTTGCCCAGTTTTACATGAGAGCTGCCACAGTTGTGATGCCAGCCCAGGCCACTGTTTTCAGGTGGGACCTTCTAGACCATTCTGGGTATCAGCAAATACCACATGTTCCATCATTGTTTGTTTTCCAAGATAGGGTTTCTCTGTAGCTTTGGAACCTGTCCTATAACCTTCTCTGTAGATCAGGCTGGCCTCCAACCAACAAAGAACTACCTGCCTCTCTCTCCTGAGTGCTAGGATTAATGGCATGCACCTCCTTTGCCTGGCTCCAATCATTCTTTTTTACATTAGTTTAAACAACCTGACTGCTTTTACCTGGCACAGCAGTCACTGTGAAATCTGTTCAGTGACAATCTTGCTTCCATTGCTTTGTGTCACAAGGTTACAGATCTCTTTTGGGGGAGGAGGGGGTTTGAGACAAGAGTTTCTGTGTATAGCTTTGGAGTCTGTTCTGGAACTTGTTCTGTAGACCAGACTGGTCTCAAACTCACAGAGATCGCCTTGTCTCTGCCTCCCAAGTGCTGGGACTAAAGTCACGTGTCACCACTGCCCTGCTGTGCTACCCCGCTCAGCCAGATCTCTTTTGAAGAAGGGCCTCTCTTTCTTTCCCTTGGTGTTTTACACACCTGTGTATGTATATGTGGATACATGGAGCCTGCTTTATTGTGTGGATTATAATCCATTCACCACTGATTTGTGCCCATATGGTTTTGGTACAAATTGAAACCTGTCTTTTCTTGGTTCAGGTCTCACTTTGGGTATCTCCAAGTGTTCCACACTCATCTGGCACACAACACACCCTGCACAGCCCTGGAATTAGCCATTTTGCAGAATGCCTGTATTCTCCATGAAGATAAATAGATAGAGATAGATAGATAGATGATAGATAGATAGATAGATAGATAGATAGATAGATAGATAAGAAATTCATATCTGGACTCAGGGGTGCTATTGCCATAGTGTCCTCTCAGTACTTCTTACTATATAATTTTCTACCAGATAGCTGCTTCTCTATATCATATAAAGAAACAAGCCTGTCCCTTTCTGAACGGAGATGGAGGAAGAGTAGATGGGGGGGAGGGGGTAGACGGGAAAAAGGACAGAATGGGAGGAGAGGAAGGAGAGGAAACTGGTTGCTATGTAAAATAAATAAAATAAAAATGTTATTTAAATTAAAAAAAAAAAAAAAGAACACAGGAACACAAGTTACGTTCTCAAATTTCAACCACACCCTGATTTTGAAGGAGGCCTTCTAGGAAGGATTGACCCTGAGGTATGGTCAGAATGCCTTCTGTTTGGATCTATTCCCAGGGTTTGTGTTTGCCAATTCTGTTTGATGACACTTTCTGTAACCCATTCTTTTATTCTAAGGTGCTCTGTGGTGGCAGCCTGACCTCTCTTCCCATGGTGTCCTACTGTTTGCATGTTTCCCTCATGGTCCCTTAAGGGTTACCCAAGATCACGCTGTTTGTCCCAGTGATGAGCCTTATGCCTTTTTTGCTTTTCGGCTATTTTAATTTGTTTCATGCTGCCACAACATGCACAAAACTGAAATCTCTCTTCTCTCTCCACTAGAGGTTGAACCCAGGGCCGTATGTGTTTTGTGATTGAACTATATCCCTAGCCCATAGTGGCACCTTATTTTTATATCTTAGCAAGAAGAAATGCTGTGTCCTCTCATGGCAGAACACAAGCTAGCAGAATGCTTCCTAAAGCTCCTTTTATAAGGGCCTTATTGTCACCAGAAGGAATTATCCCTTGCAAACCTGTCTTTTGGGGCTGGAGAGATGGCTCAGTGGTTAAGAGCATGGCCTGCTCTTCCAGAGGTCCTGAGTTCAATTCCCAGCAACCACATGGTGGCTCACAGCCATCTGAATGAGATCTGATGCCTGCTTCTAGCCTGCAGGCAGACACACAGACAGAATATTGTATACATAATAAATAAATAAAATATTTTTAAAAAGCCTGTCTTTACTGCCATCACATCTACAATATGAACTTAGAGAGCACACACACTCAAACAATGGCAAAGCCCTGCCTCTGGTGCTGTCCATGGACAGGGATAGTTCTGTCCCTGAGTTCTATTGCTGCTTTATTCTAAGTAAAACTTGAGAGTCTAAGGAAGTAAAGTTGAAGTTTATATGTGCAGAAGTACCTTGAAGGACAACCATCTTGTACATAGCTGGTCACTCTTTGATTCTTGACGATGCCTATATCATTAAAATAATAATGTTTTATTTTTAACTGCTGTGCTTTTATTGTGGAATTTTTGTTTTCTAGCATGGAAAAGATTTTGAAGCTATTCAGAACAATATTGCTCTAAAATACAAGAAAAAGGGCAAGCCTGCCAGCATGGTGAAGAACAAGGAGCAGGTCCGGCATTTCTACTACCGCACCTGGCACAAGATTACCAAGTACATTGACTTTGACAATGGTGAGTGTTCTACAGACTCAGTCTCTGGGAGACCATTAGGCAGAGTTGGTTCTTTTCAGGCAAATACCCAATGTCCTCTTTGTGATACCATCCTCACTTAGCTGCTCACTATAGGACTTGCCTCCTAATGCTTTGCTTGGTGGCATATCCAGAGGCTGTTGGTCAAACTTAACTGTGAGGAAGCTGCCCATACCTGTGGTACAGGGGTCTTACTGCTGTTTGAGTTAGGTTTTTTTGTGTGTTTCAACATCTGTGTGTTTGTGTGTGTGCATGTGTGCCTGCACACCCTGAAGTCACCTCAATAGGTTGGAAAAGTGTTCTTCCAAGGTGGCTCAGACTGAGCCTTGTTAAGGCAGCTTTGCTGGTCTCTACTTCTTCAAGGCAACTGGGCTTTACTGAGAGTTCTTTACAGCTTGATTAGTCTAAGAGAAATCTTAGTAGTCTTTACTGCTTATATACTTTTGCATCTGGTCAATTTCAGGTACTTGCTAGAAATATTTTGAGTTGTTTACTTCCTGTCTTAATGGAGCGTCCCCGCAGGAAGTATGTTTGTTACCTTCCTCTAGAACATCCTGTTGTAAACATGCTGTGCTAGACTATCTGGTTGTTCACTTTCCTTTACATCTTATGTGTCAAGAAGTTTCCCTTCAAGGTGGAGGAAGATTTTTACCTGGAAGGAAACTGCCTCACAGCAAAGGTTCTGGGTCCCTCCCCTATGAGTTGGGGTATTGAGATAAGTTGAGCTGTGGATGCACAAGAAAGCCTGAATTGTGCTGATCTACTGGGGTGGATGCTGACTTTGCCAGTGCTCTGATCATCCGTGTTACAGTCAAGATTTGCACAGTTCGGTTCATCTTCGGGGACATGATTAGATCATCCTTAGCTGTTGGTCTCATTTCTGGCTAAAAGTGCCCTTGGTTGACTACCTCTTCAGCTGATAGTCTAATCAATTGTCTCTCCCCATAAAAGTTAGCCACCTCCTTCCTCCATGTTCTGGAGTCTCCTCTGGCACTCATTCGGTCCCAGCCTGCTCTATTCTGCCTTTCATTTCTGCACTTTCTATGGTGGACTTATTCTAGAGATCCTTCCTTCTAATACTCACTTTTAATTTTCCAGATAGTAAAGTTTTTGACCTAGGAATCACTAATGTATATCTGTGGCCACATTGCTCCTACTTCTGATCCCTGCCTATGCCTTCATTTTGGCCTTTGACACCCCTGATTTTTACCATTTTTGTGGTGTGCTCTTTACCAGGTCACGATACTTTGGCTACTATATGCATCATGTTACTATAGCTTTAAAAGACACTGACTGCCTGATTCCCCATCTGACTGCAGAGCAGAACTCTGAGTGTCACACACCCTTTCTCCTGTGGTCTGTTGTTCATCCTAGAGACCCCTGTGATTAGATTGTCAGTCTCCACACCTGGGAGCATCTCCCAGTTAATCTCAGGATATTGTTGATACCTGTTTGTTAGCTTCCATAATTCGTACAACCATCAATGTAAGATTTTCCCACAGACTTCGAGTCAACCCCATTTTGTCCTTTTCAGTTACCAACACTGCTGTGTGTTTCATAACTGGTTTGTTTGTTTATCTGTAGCATGAATAATAAAAAAGATAATTGGGGTTCAATCTGAATATCAGAAAAGCAAAGCAGCCAGCCACTGGCTCTTACCTCTACCTCAGACTAAAAATGGGCAAGATCCTGTCTCCACGAATCCTGAGGTCTTCACACCCCACACTCCACATTCCACTTAGCTCCTGTCTCTTACCCCTTTATTCCTCTCTGCACCCAGCCAATATCGCTCCTGTCTCACCTCCCTAGTGCTGGGATTAAAGGCATGTAATCCCAAATGCTGGGATCACCTTTTTGTGAGCTCTGTTTCTCTTTTAGACAGATTCAATCTTGTATAACCAAGGGTGGCATTGAACTAACAGATTTGTCTGCCTCTGTCTCCTGAGTCCTGGGATTAAAAGTGTGCGCTACCACTCCCTGACCCGTATGGCTGCTTTGTATTTGCCCTCTGAACTTCAGACAAGCTTTATTTATTAAAACACAAATAATATATATCACCATACATATTTCAGCACTAGTCCAGTCCCCTGAGATCCAAGGCTGTCTTCGTTCATGTGAAACATCTGTACCTTCCAGATACATTGTTTATGTACTTTTTCTTTTCTTGTTGGAGCTCATTGTAAATTTTGAAAGTCATTCCAAGACAAACTGTTTACTCCAGCTGCTCTTGAAAAGTCTCCCAGGGCGATGGTGGCGCACGCCTTTAATCCCAGCACTTGGGAGGCAGAGGCAGGCGGATCTCTGTGAGTTCGAGACCAGCCTGGTCTACAGAGCTAGTGCCAGCACAGGCTCCAAAGCCACAGAGAAACCCTGTCTCGAAAAAACAAAAAACAAAAAAAAAAAAGAAAGAAAAGTAAAGTCTCCCCAGTGAGATGACTAAGGAGTTAGGGTTGAAAGATTGTTGTGGTTCAAGTTGTCCCTTGTGTGATGATAGAGTGTGTCTGGTTTGTTCACCAATCTCTACCTTCAGGCATGTGGATGATACAAACTCGGATTCTGTCCATGGCCCTAAAACATAGATGTTCCTCCCCCAGGTCTACCAAGTCTAAGAATTTTTTTCTTGGGTTAGTATTGCAAAGTATACAAAGCTGATGTTTCTTTTCTGTTACCTTTCTCTGCAAAACCACCTCCTGACCCCAAGTACCTCAGGCTCCTGGCAGCATCATTTTAGCTCTCTATCCCATCAGGGGTGAGGGATAGAGGCTTCAACACATTGTAGGATCATAGCAGACGTTTCTTTCACTTCCCTGTGTGGTGACTCAGTTTCCCTCCTGCCTTGCTTCCTCTGTGCTTTTGACTGCATAGCCATCACATATGAAGGGCCCTTTTCTTTTCTTTTTAAGATTTATTTATTTATTCAATATACAATGTTCTGCCTGTATATATGTATGTTTGTAGCCCAGAAGAGGGCACCAGATCTGATTACAGATGGTTGTGAGCCACCATCTGGTTGCTGGGAATTGACCTCAGGACCTCTGGAAGAACAGCCAGTGCTCTTAACCTCTGAGCCATTTTTCTAGCCCTCCCCATCTTTGCTTTGTTTTTGTTTTGTCTTTTTGAGACAGGATTTCTCTGTAGCTCTGGCTTTCTTGGAGTTCACTATGTAGGCCAAGCTGATCTCAAACTCAGAGATCCACCTGCCTCTGCCTCCCAAGTGCTGGGTTTAAAGGTGTGTGCCACCATCACCGCCCAGCTCTATGGGCCATACTTTTGTTATCCGTCAAGATCTTAGATTCCTTTTGAGAGTCCGACATGGTCTTGGGTTTTTTCCCTCAGGAAAACCTTCAGGATTGGTCAACCCTAGTATTTTAGGAAAGGCAGAGTTTTGAGCTAGTCCATGTTCCAGAATTGTACTAGTGTTGTAATATGAGCGGCAGCGGGCTGCGTTCCCGCCTAGCTCCGCACGGCTAGCTTATGCCCCGAAATAATTACACGGAAACTGTATTCTTTTAACACTGCCTGGCCCATTAGTTATAACCTCTTATTGGCTAGCTCTTACATATTGATCTAACCCATTTCTAATATTCTGTGTAGCACCACAAGGTGGTAGCTTACTGGTAAGATCTTAACCTGCGTCTGTCTGGAGTGGGAGAATCATGGCGACTCCTTCACTGGGCTTCTTTCTCCCAGCATTCTGTTCTGTCTACTCTGCCTACCTAATTTTCTGTTCTATCAGGCCAAGCAGTTTTCTTTATTAGTTAACCAATGAAAGCAACAGATAAGATACAAGACCCACCTCCATCATACTAGTATATTCATTTCCTGTTGTACAAGCTGAATGTTAATGTCTAGAAGTCGTCTCTGAGAAGAGAACTAGAGAAAACAGTTGAGAGATTTTGCAGGGGACATTTGTCTCTACTCTGTGAGATGACCTGACAGTGCCTCCAGTGTTCTGTAATGTAAAGTATCTTTAGAAAACAGTGGCTAGCTCAGAGGGGTCATTCTCCTCTTGCCAGGTTCAAGAGCCTTGAGCTCCCCAGGTATGCTCTGCTGTCCTCTGTGTACTGGGGTTGTACAGGGTGGCTCTAGGCTAAAGCACCTGAGGAACAAGATGCAGGAGGGGACAGGCAAAAGTGTAAATTTTGTCCATTTCATCTTCTGAAAGGAGCCTGTGAAGTCTTACACAACAGTCCTGTGGTTCCATATTGAGCGATATCCCTGATTGTTTTCTTCCTAAATAAAGGGGACACCTATTGGTGACATTAGAAGGATGGATGTTAGCAGGGACTTGTTGGATATATATCCGTTGGCACCTGGGGAAGGCATAGGCAAGTGGGAAGGTGAGTTTTCGGGGTTCAGGGTGATGGCTTACCTGTACTTGGGGAACTCTGTGCCATAAGGCGTAATTGTGTTGGCCATTCAATTCTTTCTTTTCTCTGAGAATACTTCTTGTCAATCAAGCAATTTTCTTCTCCAGGAAACATTTGCTCTGCCTGTCAGGACTAATGTTTGACCTCACCCCTTATTTTTTATATTTTTACTTGGAGTAAAACAACACTGCTCCTACTATATGCTTTTTGCCAGTTTCTTCAGAGGTCAGCAACTATATGGCCAAGGTGCCTTGATCCACATGTGATTAGTCTTAGCCTCTGGAGAGTGTGCTTCTAGTGTCCTTGTACAAACAAGCTGTACCCTATGATGTCTCTGTTTCTCCTGCCTAACATCTGTCCTTTTATCTTCCAGTGTTCTCTCGAGGGCTAAAGAAATCATCCCAGGAACTCTATGGTCTGATCTGCTATGGAGAGCTACGAAAGAAGATCGGGGGTTGTGAGTACTGCTGCTGTTTGCATCGTTCTAGTCCTTGTCACTGCTGACTTTTAGTGTACAGGAGTGCCTGTTTTCTCTCCAACTTTTATGTTGAAATTTTTTTTTGACAACAGAAAAGCTGAAAAAAGATAGAGTGACCATTCCCTGGCCTCCTCTACCATTTATTAATGTTTGCTTATGCTTTTCACATAGGCTTACACACACAAGATCGTTTTTCCTCATTGCCATTTCACTGTACATCCTTATACCACACTCTGAAGACCAGCACTGTGACCTGGACCAGATACTTCCACGCACCACTTGTCATGATTGTTTTGAGTCATTTCAACCCTATCAAAGTGTACAGTATCCTACTAACTTCCTGCCTATAGTCAAAGTCTTTAGAACATCTCTAAGTGATGGTCAAGTTTTGCCCAGGACTACTTCCTTGTATGCAAAGCCACCTGCATGTATATGGTGGTTCCATTGCTTTTTTTCTGCCATGATTGCCTAGCTGAGCCAGTATTGACAGGAGCCTAAGTTCTGGCTGGATCTCCAAAGGTCCTAGCCTGACCACAGCTCAAGACTGTCTGTTCTCACCTCACCAGCTCAGGCATCTGCTAGATGTAAAGTCCAGAACTTCTCACTTTTCCCTCTTCCTCTCCCCTCTTCCTGTTTCTTCCAGGACATGTCTCATAAGGTCCTGCCTAGTTTGTTTGGCCTCCTCACCCCTAAGCATCTCATGTAGAACCTGCTAGACACAGTGCTGCAGAGCTTTGTTCCTGCCCTGGCTTTCCTCTTCATTGACCCCTCTTCTCCTGCATATCTGAGCTCCAGTGTCCCTGTTCAGACAAGACTGGGTCTCCTTGACTTAAAGTCGTTAGTACTCCATTTTTTCATGTGTTTGTGGTGGTACTGGAGGGGTTGGTTAGTGTCCATCTAAGGGCCATGGTGTGCCTGGCTCTTGCAAAAACATACCTGTATTTGCTTTTCCCAGTGATCTTCCTCCTTACCTGGGCTCTTCTCTTCAGAGTGAGAGCTTTCTTTACTTTCTGTGGTGCAGTTGTCCAGCTTTGAATCCTTTCACTTACTGTTCACTGAAAAGGCTTCATTTTGTTTTCATTCTTTTATGGTTTTTCGACACAGGTCTTTTCTGTGTAGCCCTGATTATGTCCTGGAATTCACTTTGTAGACCAGGTTGGCCTCATACCCACAGAGATCCTCTCGAGTGCTAGAATTAAAGACTTGTGCCATCAAGCCCAGCTCTGTTTTCATTCTTAAAAGTTTTTCAGAGTAGAATTCTGATTTGACTGCTTTTGTTTTTGTTTGGTTTATTTCTTTTCTTCTTTGATCATGTTTATAACTGATCTAATGTCTGTCCTGCACTGTCTATGATAGAAAGTCCTTTAAGTCCTTAAAGGTACAGTACATTTCTGCCTGATTTTAGAATTGCATTCTTGTCTTTGGTTCTCTGCCTGGGTGAGTGAGTATGGTCCCACTGTTACTCGGTCAGTCAGTCAGTCAGTACTGTTGAGGATTTTACAGTGCATACCCATACCCAGGGCCTAGGCTCTTGTTACCTTTTTAATTTTTGCTTTCCTGTGAAGACATCTTTAGGACAGTGATGTGGACAGAAACTAGGGCATTAGAATTATCATTTAGCTGGCCATGCCATTCAAATTATATTCCTGAGAGTCCACATACAACCAGCAGGGAAAGAAGGCCCAGGACCCAGTGAGATGCCTGAAGGATGCAGTTTTCAGGCAGCATTGGGAGCTGTGGTTCAACAGTACCAGACTATCATGGACGACTCCTAGAAGAAGAGGTTAGCCGTACAGGAAGCACATTAGATCTTTGAGACAATGGTTAGAAAGAGGCTGTCTGTGACAAACAAGGTACTGGCCAACTTTACTGCAGGTGCAGATTCTGTTTGATGAAGAACATTCATTATCAAGATCTGGAGTCTACATGGAAGGCACTAATAAGGGAATTTGTTATTGTTTATGTCTAACTACCCCATGGCCTCATTTATTTTTCTTTACATTTAAAGGCATGGATGACAAGAATGCAACAAAGTTGAATGAACTCATTCAGGTTGGGTAAGTACAAGTGTATGCTGTTCATTCATTGAACTACAGAGGTTGAAATATGTGCTGTATTTTTTTCGTAATTTTATTCGTGTGCATATTGTATGTGAGTGCTGACATGTGTTACAGTGCTTGTGTGGAGAGCAGAAGACCGCTTTCAGCAGTCAGTTCTACTGTGGTGTCCACATTGAACTCAGGTCATCAGATTGTGCAGTGTTATAATTTGCTTTCTGTTGCTCTGATAGATACCATGACCAAAAGCCATTTAGAGAAAGAAAGGGTTGATTTTGCTTATGCTTTAAGATCACAGTTGATCACTGATGGGAGTCAGGGCTGAAATTGAAGCAGGAACCATGGAGGAATGGTGCTTGCTGGCTTGCTCCCTAGCCTGTGTTCAGCTACCCCTCTTATACAGCCCAGGCCCACCTGCTGAGGAACAAGTCTGCCCACAGCTGGCTGGGCCCTCACATTTCCATCATCGATGAAGTTACTCACAGATAAAACCACCAGCCAATCTGATGTGGACCGTTCTTTAGCTCACGTTTCCTCTTGACCCTTGGTTGTGTCAGGTTCATAAAAACATTAATTAGGACACAGGGCAGGTGTTTTAATCTGCTCAGCCTTCTAACAAGCCCTCCAACGTCTTGGTCAGGACCCACAGAATTAAAACTTCTTCCTGTCCTTATTCATGTGGGGTTTTTTGTTTTTGTTTTTGGATTTTTCGAGACAGGGTTTCTCCATAGCTTTTTGGTTCCTGTCCTGGAACTAGCTCTTGTAGTCCAGGCTGGCCTCGAACTCACAGAGATCTGCCTGCCTCTGCCTCCCGAGTGCTGGGATTAAAGGCGTGTGCCACCACTGCCGCCATGTAAACCTTAATTTTCATGAGCAACCCAGACCTGATAGGATTGAATCACTGTAAAAGAGCACTGTGATCTGTCAAGACCGCTGGGTGGCCCTAAATACCAGTCAAGTTCCTAGATATATCTTATATAGTCAGAAGCCATCAGAAGGTGGGACTACCAGCTCTGTTTATTGGGGGATTAAGAGGTGGGATTGACTTGCTCTGTGTCCCCATTTGGGACTCAAAGTCTAACCTTCCTTCCGTTTTGCACTTTTATTATTTTTGTTGTTGTTGGTGGTGGTTTTTGAGGCAAGGTTTCTTCTCTGTGTAGCCCTGGCTGTCCTGGAACCAACTCTGTAGACCAGACCAGACTGGCCTTGAACTCACAGAAATCCACCTCTGCCTCCCAGTGCTGGGATTTAAGGTGTGCGCCACCACCACCTGGCTTTTTTGCAAGACTGAGCAGTTGTTTGTTACAGGAGCTTTTTTGGGGAAGACTTCAGCTCACGGGCTGAGGTGATCATTGTTATGGTTTTATCAGTAGGTGAGAAGTGTCCATTGAAGGGCCTAGTACACCTCTGTGATTTGATCTTTCCTGATTTTATTTCAAAATTCACTGAGTGAAACTATTTGTTTCAGGCCCTTTGCTTTGTTTCCTGAACAAAGCATGAGAGAGGACATATGGAAAGGCAGGCTCAGTATTGGGGGTAGGCCAGTGGTATATCTTCATTAGCCAAAGGCTCTTGCCACTCAGTATCTAACAGGTATGCTCCAGGAAACATCTAAGCAATAGATTTCAGGGTAAGAACAAGAGACATTTCCCTAGCATGTATGAGGCCCTGTGTTTGATCCTCAGTACTGACAAAGAAAAAGGAAACAAATGTAGAAGGTCTCGTAGGGACAAATGGTCAAGGTAACTTTAGATCAAGAAGCTGGAGATTGCTTTATACTCATAGACAGCAGGTGGGTGGGTGTGCCAGTGTTGAAATATGCTGTCAGGCACAACTTTTGGTGCTGTTTACACATGCATCCCTGATTCTTGGAGAATCAAATTGGAAATGATGGTGGCACTGCAGCCTCAAAGCTCCTGGACCTGTGTTCCTGTATGGCTGCTTTGCTGAGCAGATGACCACCCTGGATAGGTGATTTGGTTTTTGTTAGTTTGTTTTTGTTGTTATTGTTTTTTAACAAGGTCCTACCACAGCACCTATCTGGAACAGATGGAGCAGATGATTATAGCAGGTTCTAGGTGTAGATGGGGGTGAGTGTTCTTGTCAACATGAGTTGCAGCTTGTGGCAAGGAGAGGAAACACTGATTGCTGGCTAGGCCCATGTCCTAGGTAAGACCTGAGAAACTTCTGGCAGCACCAGGGAACCTGAAAGGCATCTTTTACTTGATGTACCCCTCACCTGGTACTGTCCCACAATGTACCATGGTATTCTGATAGCTTGTGTGGACATTTCTGTCAGAACCTCTGGGCGAGTTGAGGCAAAAAGTTTGTACATTGTGCTCATCCATTGGAAATGTCTAAGTGATTGTGTGCTGTCGTGAGAAGGTGGGTGCTGGAGTGGAGGCTACTGTGGCAGATCTACAATTAACGACCCCTTTTCTGTGCCTGTGTGCATGTATGTATCTGTAGAACGTTACGCTGTGAGTAGATCCCAGGAGGGATCCTACCTTAACATCTAGAGACATCTTTCTGGGGTATGATGTTTAGGCTAAGGGTACACAAGGTGCAAAGGAAGGAATTGCAGTGACTAAAGTAGCTAAAGAGGCGAAGCCAAGTGTGGGTCTAAGTCCTGGAGGGTTGGGACAAGCCTTGTTTTGATGCTTGCACAGGGTTTTAGTGGTCTTCAGGTATTTCTGGAAGCTAGAGGAAGCAAATCAGGAAAGCCACTTGTGCCGGGTAAATCATTCCTTTGGCTGTGAAGAGGTAAGTTAGGGGAGCATATTATGACTGACATTTAGTGGTGTTTTGCTGTTGTTGTTGTTGTTTTTTTTAAATTTTATTTCTGTTATGTGTGTTTGTCTATATAGATACATGTGTATACCCTGGTGCCCATAGAGATCAGAAGAGGGTACTGGATTCCCTGGAACTGGAGCTACAGATAGTTGTGAACCACCTACCTTGTGGGTTCTGGGTATCGAACCTGGGTCTTTGAAAGAATAAGTAGTCTTAACACTAAGCTATCTCCACAGCCCCCATTTGGTGTTGTAATATTTTATATATTTTTACTTTTTACCTACAGTTATATGAGTTTGTTTGACATTGGGGGTTTAGATATTTTATTGAATTTGGTAGCTCTTAGATACTGATTTTATTTTTTAGAGCAGCTTTTAGGTTTATGTAAAAGGACACAAGATCATGCTCAAGGCCCTGGGTTCCGTTCCAAGTACATCAAAAATGACACTGTTACAATTGATGAACCTGGTGTTCTGTTCCTTAAGTCTTAGTTCCAGGAATTTGAAGCAGGAGGATCACGCTAAGACAGACAGCTGTGATACCTCTGCTAATGCTTGCTCATTATTGAGTGTGGTTTATGTTATGTCAGACATGTTTAAGGTTGGACAGTTGTACAGTGAGACACCTCCTTCCTACCATTACAATCTTATTTGGAGTACTTTCTCTGTCCTTAAAAAAAAAACAAAACGGGGCTGGAGAGATGGCTCAGCAGTTAAGAGCATTGTGTGCTCTTCCAAAGGACCCGAGTTCGATTCCCAGCAACCACATGGTGGCTCGCAACCATCTGTAATGAGGTCTGGTGCCCTCTTCTAGCCTGCAGACATATATGTAAACAGAATATCGTATCCATAATAAATAAATATATAAAAAAAAACCAACAAAAGAAAACAACTTTATCTGCTGTTTGTCTCTTCCTTCATCATCTGGTTGGAGTCAACCAGTACACAGCCTATTTAGATTGGCATCCTCCATTCATGGCTCTGAGTTTAACAAGAACATTATGGCAGGGAATGTCTAGTCCATGTCTAACCCCAGGCAACGATAGTGCCACTTTCTATAATGCCTTTCTTTTCAGAGGACATTGTCAGGCATTGTACAGAGCTCAAACAACTCATTGCCTTTCCCTGCCCAGAGGAGTTAGTAGCACGAACATACCTGTCTGTTGATCTGTGTTTTTGTATTTTTTTGTTTTGTGGAGCGATACTGGGTAATTTAGTTGTTGTTTTTTGTTTTGTTTTGTTTTTTAATGTTTTTGAAGAATTGACTCCAAGGCTAAACCATGAGTCTGTTTTGTGAGCATGGGTTTTCATCTCACCTGGGCATCCCCTTAGAAGAGATGTGTCTTCCAAAGCCCAGCCCAGGGGCTCCCAAGGACTTCAAAAAGTTCTACTTGATATGAAATTGCTTTGAATTGTATTTCTTTGACAATCAATGACATTGAGCATGAGTTTTTGTTGCTGTTGTTGTTGTTTCTACATCTTTGTACAGGTGTGTATGCCCATTTTGTTTTTAAAGCCCATTCCCCTGCAAGGCTCTTTGTTGGCGGAAGTTGCTGAAAACTTGATGCCTTCATGTTTTATTACTCTCTTTAGAATATTCTTTCTGGTTCCCCTCTGTGTCCCTACTCCAGCATCACTGTTAGTGCTGTATCACTTTTCATCAGTGTGTTCCATCTGCTGTAAGGTAGTTCCGTAATTTTGAGTTACTTGAATGTGTGGTTGTTTAGAGACTTATTCTCTATGAATTATCCAATTACCCAAATAGAAAGTGGGTAAGGGGTCGCAACCTTCTTCTTGGACTCTTCTTGTCCTTTTAGTCAGGCTTTCTTATTCTTAGCTCTGCATTTTGGTGTCTAGCATATGGAGGTAGTTTGGTCCTTGGATGGATGGGTGCATATGACAGATGAGGCGATAGGTGGGATAGTTAGAATTGACAAAAAGACATTTAAGAGGACAGTTGAGCAAATGAATGAGTAGATAGAAGAATGGCTGATAGAAGGATAGATAAATGTTTACACAGATGAATGAATGAATGAAAGGCAGATATATGGGTAGATGGATGAATGTGCCAATAGGGGGTAGACAGATGGAAGAATGAACATGTATATACGGCTAGATTAATAGATGGAATACAGATGAGTGAGAGAAAGCATGGGCAGATGAGTCGGTAGGTACATTTATGAGTGGGTAGCATGGGTTAGTGTATGGTGGGTAGGTAAGTAGATGCTTGGATAAGTAAATAGATGTGCATGGAAAGGATGAATGGATGATATTGTAGCTGCCATATCATGAGTTTTGAGTTTTCTGTGTTGAGTGATTGTGCCCACCTCCCATATGAGAGACCTCACTGTTTGAATTGTCTTATGAGTACTTGCTGAAAGCCTTACTGTGTTTGGAGCCAACATGAAACCACTATGCAGGGTTCTGAGACTTAATAATGCTAAAACGTGAGCCATATTCCTTTTCAGGACACACTTTGTTCTTACGAGGTCTGTGGTACAACGCTTTCCCCCTGACTTTAGCCCTAGTGTCTCCTGCTTTACATGTATACATTTGAGTTGCTCTTTTTTTAAAAAAAAAATTATTTATTTACTATGCACTGGTGTTTTACCTGTATATACTCTGTGTGGAGGTGTCAGATCCCCTAGAAATGGAGTTATAGACAGCTGTGAGCGCCCATGCGGGTGCCGGGAATTGAACCCAGGTCCTCTGGAAGAGCAGCCAGTGCTCTTAATTGCTGAGCCATCTCTCTGGCCCCCTTGAGTTGCTCTTTTAATCAAGTATCGTATCAACAGAACCTTTCCTGTGCTTGTTCTGCTTAACATTATAGTTTAGATTGTTATCTCTGATTTAAGCAGCATTATGTTAGAACAACATTTTTTAAATTATACAAATATAGTATAAGTACATTCTGAATGAATACATTTTTGTTTGTTTTTCAAGACAGGATTTCTTTGTGTAACAGTTCTGACTGTCCCGGAATTCACTTTGAAGACCAGGCTGGCCTTGAACTCACAGATTCACCTGCCTCTGCCTCCTGAGTGCTGGCATTAAAAGCATGCGCCATCACTGCCCAGCTAGAATACATCTTTTTAAGATAGTGTGACCATGTAAAATCAGCCGGGCAGTGGTGGCACACACTTTTAATCATAGCACTTGGGAGGCAGAGGCAGGTGGATCTCTTGTCAGTTTGAGGCCAGCCTGGTCTACCGAGTGAGTTCCAGAACAGCAAGGGCTACACTGAAAATCCCTGTCTAAAAATAAATAAATAAGCCCATCTCCTTCCTCACAATTAAAACTTTTCTTCGGAAATTTACATGAATAAACACTTAGATACGAATTTGAATCTGTACTAGTATGAGTATATCATCTCTTCTACATCTTTAGAATCATCTCATGTATATTAATTACCCTGCCACTTTCCTACATACATCTTAGAAACTAAATAGTGAGGATAGAAGCTGCTCTCATAACTAACATGCTTACAGCTGAGAATAGGTCAGTAAAAAATGTAGGGGGCGGGTTTCCCACACATGTATTTAATCCCAGCAGGAGGCAGAGGCAAGCAGATCTCTGAGTTCAAGGACAGCCAGAGCTATACAGTGAGACCCTGGCTAACAACAATAAAAGTAGGTTAAAGCAAAAAGACATAAAGTGATAGATAGTTTGAACATGTAAAACCCAAACATGCATTCCTTTCTTTACCTTTAGGTGGTTGACCAGAGCCTTTTCTTCAACCTGAATCTGCTTTAATCTGGATCCAAAGTGCATCATTTGTTCTTTTTAAATTCAAAGCAGTGGAAACTCAGGAGCCAAACTGATCATTCTTGGCCTTTGGTCATGTTCACACTGTTCAATCCCTGTCTGAAAACCAGCTACCTATACTTAGTGCTTTGAAAGTTTTCCTCCTGTGGGCTTTGTTTGTTTTTCTCTTGTTTGTTTTTGAAGGAGCTTTCACCTTTGTATCAGTAGCAAAACAGTATTTCAATAATGTATATAATTGCTAATCTACTGCAGCTCCAACAGACAGACCTTGGCTGGCCTGAGGACTTGAGTTTGGGCTCTGACACCTTACTCTGCTGTATGGATCGCAGGGGGATGGGATTACACTGCTGTGGCAAATTGGTCATGAGTAGTTCACAAGAAGTCGTGTAAAGGTGGGTGGGCGGGTCATGTGGAAGACATAGAGGTGGCTCTGGAGTTTCTGTTATACAGCTCTAAGGAGGAGGAATGCTTGGAGGAGCAGAGAAGCTCCTCAACAGTGAGCCTGGCTGTGTGTGACGTTCAGTAGTCATGCTTGGAGCACCACGTGTCCCTTGTTCAGGAAAGTAGCAGATATCTACTATCTGATGTGATTGACAGCAGAGGAATGGATGCTTACCAGGTCTTCCTGCTTACCACACTTCAGACCAGATAATCCTTCATCCCTTACATACACAAAGTCCTCAGTATTGCTTCAAATTCTATTCCCAGCGCCACCACAGTACGTTATAAAGGGAGAAATCTGCGGATCAAGGCACCCATGTGTCGGGCCCTGAAGAAACTCTGCGATCCAGATGGTAGGTGGCAGGGGAAGGGATGGCATGTGTTGACGTTTCTATGGGTGTTTTGATGGGCAAGCTATTGTACTTTTTGACTTACTCTGTTTAACCTTCTCCTGTGAGTAGACTGTTCTTAAAGTGACTTCCATGTGTCTACTAAGAATCCATGGCAACTTTCTGACATTGGGTTAGTGCTCTGAGGAGACCACTTGGTAGCCTGTCCATAGTTCTGCCTTTGTAACTACACAGTTCACTGTGTTGAGTTCGACCCTTGCTAGGGTTCCTCTGTTCTCCTTTGTTCCAAGTTCTCATTTCCCTGTGATATTCTGGCAAAGTGTTTTGTTTTCTACCTTGAGGTTTGTCTGCATTGGACTTTCATGGTCTCCTTTCTTCAGGTCTAAGTGATGAAGAGGACCAGAAGCCAGTGCGCTTACCTCTGAAAGTCCCTGTAGAGCTACAACCGCGGAACAACCACGCCTGGGCACGAGTACAGAGCCTGGCCCAGAACCCACGTCTCAGGTGACATTTAGCGTGAGGAAGGGCCCCATGACAGGCAGGACGTGAGGGTTTGGTGTTTCAGTTTCACTCAGGGTATCCTAGAGAAATAGCTTTTGCACAGTGCCCTGACATCATATGAGGACAAGGTGTGGAGGTGACGATGTCATGAGAATGCCCTGAGTTGGAGGGTAGTTTTGAGATCCTGAATTGTAATTCTACCAGGCAGAGTTCTTTGTCCGAGTAAGAAAATAGGATTGTGAGTGCCTGCAGAATCTTCATCTTACCTGTAAAGCCCATATATTTCCTTATCTCTGACTCCCTGAAGATTTGTGGCTAATTAACAAAGCACTGCCATACCTTTGGTCCATTTCCTGTATTTCCTGTTTACAGTTTGTTTAGTTGAAGTAAAATTCATACAACATTGAATGAGCTCTTCACCACTTGAATGTTTATAGTTAAGTGGCACTTGGTATGTTCACCATGTTGTACAACCTTTATCTCAGTTGACTTCCAGAATGTTTTCTTCATCCCGCGTGCCTGTTAGCGCTCGTCTCTCTCCCAACTGCTTTTTGTTCTTGTGGATTTGCTTCTTCTGGACATTAATGTTACTGTAACCACAGGAATCTGCTCTATCTGGCGTCTCTCAGTGGCTTACTGTTCTGAGGCTCATCTGCTTTATAGCACATATCAGTGCTTCATCTCATCTATGTATGTGTTTTATTTTCTTAGGGCAAATTAGGGGTAACTACATACCTCCACTCTTGAAGGCAATGAGCACTGATGGTTTCAGTGCTCACACACTAGCCAAGCACTCAAATTGGAAAGGGTTCTTAGACCTCTCTGTGTTTTATACAGCTTTATGTGAATCTATAGTGATTTCAACAAACAGAATTTATATTTAAGACTAGGAGCTGAAGACCCTGTGGATCCTACCTTTCCAGTACCTACTTACCTATCATGTGGTTTTGGTACAGGCAGTCATTAGAGCTAATTCCAAGACTGACTTTCCTACTCTAACCTTGTTTTTTGTTTTGTAGGATGATTGTGGAGCTACATCGAAAAGTCTCTAGCCTCATTGAGTTCTTGAAGCAGAAGTGGGCACTCCATGAAGTACGAATTGTATCTTTTTCCAGTTGAAGCAGACCCTCCAAACCTGCCAGCTATTCCTGCCTGGGAATGAGGTCCTGTGATCCCTAATTCCTGTCATTGCTATGGGTCCCCATGCGAGTCCAACATTCTTGGGTTATGTGTAAATCCTACCTTTGACCAACTTGCCCTGAGTGTATTCAGTCCCAGCCACCTCTCTATGTTTTGAGTGGCCAACTATTTGTTCTGTGAGACGTTGCCAAAGTCACTCCATCAGTAGATTGGGTGGGATGATGTACATACGTCACAGCCTCCTTTGTGTCCTTGGTAGGTTGCTAACCCTACCTGTTTTCAGGAATAGTGTCTGTCATCAGGTGTGAGTTTCCTGAATACACTGAACACCCGGACCAGCTCAGTCTGGTAGTAGCCTGAGAAAAGTTCCTAGGTGAGCCTCAGGAATATCTAGGGGTACGTGGGGCTGCTAGGAAAGATGGCCCTAGTCTGAAATCCATAGCTCTCCACTGAAGAGGACCTTGATCACAGTGTAGTTGTTTGGAGTTGCTCCTTGACAGTGTGCCCAGCGGAAGACACTTGAGGAGAGGCAGCTGCAGGGCTCGAGCACAGCACAGACCCAGGAGAAGGTGGCACTGCACTTGTTCCCAGGCGAGAACTGTACGCTGACACCACTGCCGGGTGTGGCCCGTGTGGTACACTCCAAGGCCTTCTGCACTGTACACTGGCAAGAGGGTGGCAGGTGCAAGCAGGGTACCAAGGACACGCACTCGCTGCCTCCAGCCCAGATCCTGGGCATCCAGAGTGGTCAGGGAATAGCCCGGGGCCAGGTGAAGTGCCAGAGGGGCAGTGCTGAAGCCAAGGGTGGGGGGCGGCTTCTTCCTAATGCAGATGCTTCACAGAGTTCAGGGGAGAGTTCCCCTGAGAGTGCTCCTGGAGAGGGGACAGCTCCAAGTATGAACAGCTCAGATGCCCCTGACAGGCCTCCTCATGGGCACCAGGACTCTGGCCCACAGCTTGAGAAGACCTCACTAGCAGCCCTTGCTGTGGGTGGGGAGAGCCCCATTCAAGAATCTAGGGCCCTGCCATGTTCATGTGGCCAGCCCCCAGACTTGGAAGATGAACTCTCACTCCTTGACCCCTTTCCCCGATACCTGAAGTCTTGCCAGGATCTCATCATCCCGGAGCAGTGCCGCTGTACAGACACACAGTCTGGGAGAGAGCACCCTCTTCTTGGCATGGTTGCTTCCCCAGAGGCACTCATGCCCAGCAGCAGAGAGGTTGCAGACAACGGTCCCCCTGGCCCGGACCCTCAAATTGGCACCGATCCTCAACTTGAGCCCAGGCTTCTGCCAGATATTTGTACTAAAGAGCTGGCAGATGTATCTCCTGAAGAGTCTCAGGAGAAAGGGAGCCCCTCAGAACCTCTGTTGTCTCAAGGACAGCCTGCTGCCAGGCCTTCAAAGGAAGTCCCTGCCAGCCAACTGGCCCAACAGCTGCGTGAAGAGGGCTGGAACTTGCAGACCTCTGAGAGCCTCACGCTGGCTGAAGTCTACCTCATGATGGGCAAGCCGAGCAAGCTGCAGCTAGAGTATGACTGGCTGGCTGTGCTGGGCCCTGAGAGCCAGGTGCCCACAGCACAGGGTCAGACCGCCCTATCCCGCTCTCCGCCTTCAGCCCTCCACCAGCAGCGCCTCCTGAACTGCCTCTTGAGGCTCATCTCCACTGAGGTCCACCCCAAGATGGTGAGTGATTTAGATTAGCCCAGGACACTGAGTAGTTTAAGGTGAGCATGTGTGTCAAGCATGACTCCTCAGGATTCCAAAGGTAACATAGTCACCAGGACTGTAGGTCCTATATCCCATGCCAGGGCTATTGAAGGTCTACAATTCAGCACGATGGACCTAACCTCTAAATAGACCCAGCAGCAGAGTTATGGAATTAAGCTGTGACTACACAGATGGCCTTCTGTGGAGATAGGTGGTATGGTCTACTTCTCAAGGAGAGGAGGCCAGGGCAGACCTTTGAGTCAGTGGGAAAGTGAGAGGTTCTAGTCTCGATTTCCACTGGAAGGTAAGTGAGGCAGTTTGGAACAATATTATGGAAAGTGACGAACCGGAATCACTGCTGAGACCCCCAAGTAGGCTCCTGGCTGAAAGCCTCAACACCACTGAGACCTTGTTAGAAATAAGGTTACAGGGCTCAGGCACACGCCTGAACACATCATCTGTCTATACATCCCTCTGTTGTAGAAACTCAGAAAGGAATACTTAGTTTGAGGCCAGGCTGGACTTAAAAACAAAACAACAGATGGTAGTGATGAAGGAGAACAGAAAGGACAGATATTGCTAGGGGTTGAGGGAGGAGAGGTTGTGAATGGTAGCAACCCCCCATAGTGACTTAATGGGCTCTGTTGAAACTCAAGACCATAGGTCAGAGACAGGTCATCTGTTCTTTGTTCCCCGTTTTCTGCCTGGCAGAGCTATGGCAAGCAAGAGTCCTGAGACTCAGGAAATGGCCAGAGTCACCTGAAATGCTCAGTCTGAGGTAGAAATACTACTATTCCCAGAATGTAGAGGTCAGAAGATGCAGGGAGAGGTTGGCGATGGGCGTGGGCAGAGCTGTAGAGGGACTGTTGTGATGTAACCCTAGTGAGATGGTGTGGCTGCTTCTGGGAGGAGTTCAGAATTTGGGCATCTAACCAGGTCTCTCTGAAGAGGTGAGGCCACCAGAAGAGGAACAGCAACAAGAGATGGAATGCCTTTGTGAAGCCCTAGGACTCGAAGCTGTCTATTTTTCTGCTATCAGTTTGTATGTGAAAATGTGGGTGTTCAAATGCATGGGGCACATGTGGAGGTCAGAGGACAGCTTTTCAGGAATCAGTTTTCCTCCCTGTTTTGAGACTGTCACTTGTTTTTTTTCTGTCACTGCATTTCACTTCTCCAGCTGGTAATCCTGTGAGCTTCTGGTCTATTCTGTCTCCTAATTCTGTCTCGTAGGGGATCACACATGTGTGCCTTCACATCCAGCTGTTTACATAGTTTTAGGGAATCAGATAAACTCAGGTTTGTGAGTCAAGTGCCTTTACCTGCTGAGTTGTCTCCCTGGCCTCTGAAGCCATCCCTTAAAGGGGCCTGGACACTCGTGAGGTTGGGAGCTGGGCAAAAGGCTTTTCATCTGTGACCAGTTTTCAGGAGTGAATCTGTTTCCTCCTTAGGGCTCACAGTAGTAGGAGTTAACATGATTGTCTTAGGAAGTCTTTTCGCCATGGCTTCTTAAAAAGACAAACCTTTGTCACTTACCAGTACATCTTCCCTGTACCATAACTGTTCTGCTGCTCCCTGTCCCCTCTGCTGTGGAGCTGCTTGTCTGTTCTGTCCACTACATTTTGGCAGTGGAGATAGGCTAGGATCTCCTGAGGAAAGCAGTGAGTTGCTTTAACTATTCATCTCACTTCCTGGGGATTTGTAACTTTCCCCCTCTCTTTTTCCTTCCAATTGCTAAAGTTTGTCATGTGTTTTGTTTTTTCACCATACAGCCCAGGATGTCTGGCTTGGAACTCATTCTGTAGATCATGTTGGCCTCATTCCCACAGATCTGCCTGCCTTTGCCTCAGAGTACTGGGATTAAAGTATGTCCACACCTTGCTTAGTGATTTCAAATCACTGGAGAGTTAGAATTAGTCAGGTGTAGTTAATGCTTGTGGTCCTAACACTTGGAAGGCTAAGTCAGATCTTCTAAACCAGAAGTTTGAGGTCAGCCTAGGCAACTTAGTAGATACATGCCAGCCAAGTTAGGCTACAGGAAGAGACACCATTTCAGTAAGGAATACCCACAGCTGTGTGCACTCATGCACAATAAAAGTAAATCTTTAGAAAAATAATGAAGTAATATGCTAAGTTTGCAAATTGTGACTTTGGGGCATTCTATTCCAAAGTGGGTTTTTTTGCCACCATAGAAATGGATGTCCTTAGGATATTTGTGATAGAGCCATTTTTCTTGAGCTGAGTCTTTGAACCTCAAACCTGGTGTCTTTCCAGGCTTTTGAAGCAAACACAGCATCAACAGCCTCAGTCAGGCCCACCCAAGAGGAACAGTCCACATCCCCCCCAGGGAAGGTAGTGACCATCAACTCTCGGAGTCCCCGCTGCTCTCGAAACCCATCTGCCCTCCGAAGCAGCAAGACTTTCCCATCTGGTTCTGCACCTTGTTCCCCAGGTATGCTTCAGGGAATCCTGATGTCGTTGGTACTGTATCTGAACTGAACACATGATCCTATTGTCTACCAACCATGGTCTAGTGGGCATAGCAAAGGCAGAGGATCACTTCCATTGGGGATGATGAACACAGGGAAATGTCATAAAGGACCTAGTCCATGTGGTAAGAAGAGTGTAGGATAGTCTTGATTGGTCTGGTTAACATTGGAAGTTTTGCATGAGAAACCTTCATAATCTACTGAGTGGCTTAAAGAGCTATTAAGGAAGACTGGTTCTTAATTCTGTAGTGACTTAATTTTCTTTACCTCCAAAACATTCAAATAAAGCAGTCTTCTATTAATGGGCATGGTGGCCGTATCCGAAATGAAAAATGAAGTAACCTGCTTCTTAGTATACCTTTAAATTTTCTGAGAAATAATTTTGGTTTATTTTGTGGTACTAAGGATGGAAATCAGGGCATCATACATGTTAGGCAATCACTTTGCTGCTGAGATACCACCCCAGACGCTAAGGAAAAAAAATAATTTTCTTACTGGGTACATAAAACCCCAAGATAAGCATGGCTGCCCCATTTATTTCCCAGGGCATCAATTTTGTTTGCTTTGACCTACTGAAACTATTTTACCTCTGTTGTAAGGAAACTACATTGGTATGCCAAAGATACCATAAATAAGTATTTTTTTTAAATACTTATTTATTTATTTAGTATACAGTATTCTGTCTGCTTGTATGCCTGCAGAGCAGAAGAGGTGCCAGACCTCATTACAGATGGTTGTGAGCCACCATGTGGTTGCTGGGAATTGAACTCAGGACCTTTGGAAGAGCAGGCAATGCTCTTAACCACTGAGCCATCTCTCCAGCCCCCTGGAGGACACATCTTGCAGTTGCTTGTTTTTTGTTTTCTCTTCCTCTTTCTTATGCTTTAAGGGGCTGCATCAGCAAAGCCCAAGCCGCTAATCCCTGAGATGAAGGCTTGGTCTTGAAGTAGGCCAGGTAGCAGCTCATGACTGCTTCTTTTGCCTTCCAGTAAAATTATAAATGTCCTCTAACATTCTCTGTCTGATTGAGGATTATAAGGCCCAGGGTCCTGAACTTCCAGAAATGTGTACTATGGGTGGCCCATACCAAGCCATGAACCATGAAGGTGCTTTGTAGCAATACTACCGTGATGGAATTTCAACAGGGTTGTTATACAATAAATACTTTCTGTCCTGTTATCATTAGGGCTGTTTTCTGCAAAATAAGGGATTTTAAAACCAGTGTTAATAGTGTGTAGCTATAGCCTGCTTGTTCTGATTACTGTGTCACACAAATAGCTGCGTAGGCACACAGCCACACTCTCGCTCTACTGCAGCCATACCAAGTTGAGTTGCTATAAAGACAAGATGGACACTGAGTGTGTTGCTAACTAATCTCTGCAGAGAGTCCGCTTTCTTTTGGTCAGCTAGGAATGTCCCAAGGTCCTGTAGCTCTCAAGTCTTGGTTAGTTGTCCTGCCCTTTTCTCTCTTGATCATAGAACAGTGGTAATGTGCTTTTATTCAAGAGGCCTATAGTCCCTGTAAAGTGGGGTCAGGAATCAAAGGAAGCAAGGCAGGACTTTACTAGATAAAGTATAGGCAGCTGAAAATTGTCTGCTTTCTTTCCTGGTTTACTTCCTAGTGGATTGCCTTTGCCCTGGAGGGGATGGATGTAAGTGTCAGCTCATAATTCTCCCTTCTGTTCCAGGTTTAAGGAATCCCCCAAGGCCTCTCTTGGTAGCTGGTTCCTCCAGCACAGGAAGCGGTGACTCAGACGGTGGCCTCTTTGCTGTACCAACAACTTTGCCACCCAATAGTCGACATGGGAAGCTCTTCTCTCCCAGTAAGGAGGCAGAACTGACTTTTAGGCAGCACCTGGACTCCATCAGCGTGAGTGCTGGAGCACAAGGGGTGGGGGGGGGGGCGACTGTGGTCTGCTTCGTGGTTAGAGTGCCTGTTTTAGGACTCATGTTCTTTCTCCCTTAGATACAGTCAGACTTCTTCTCACCAAAGCCCAAGAAACTACGCAAACGGCACTTACGAAAGCCACTGGTGGTCCAGGTGAGGGAGCATTGATTGAGTCTACGTACGCATCTGCATTGTGTCTGTCAGGTCCATACTCTAGCTGCTGATGAACTTACCAGGAGATGCTGTTTTCTTACATCTTTGGTTTTCAGAGTGAAACAGAAAGTTCTTGCCCTTGTCTTTTTTATTAATAGAAAAAATAGAGCCATGAACAAATAATTTACTGGTACTATATAAATAAAGGTAGACTTGGATTAGCATTGAAAATGATTTACGTACCAGGCTAGGGTTCCGGGTCACGAGTGTTCAAACTGGAGTATCTCCAGGAGCTGTTAGAGCTTGGGTTTAAAACATTCAGGAGGCAGGAGTTGGGCTGGCAGAAGCGGGCATTTGTAGAACTGTAATAAGTGGTAGGACAGCCTACAAGTGCCATCCCCCAGCCATGGCACACAGGATGTACAAGGCACTCAAGAAAGAAGACAGCAGCACTTACAGATGACAGATAAGGGAAGTAAGGCTGTGATAATGTAGCCATAGGAATTTGTGAATGGATGTAGTTTTTGGAAGACATGAATAGACCAGTTTCCTTTTGTTAGTCTCTTAGGAATCTTTTTCTCTGGGTCTGGTGCGGTGGCTTAGTGGGTAAAGGTACTTGCCACTAACTAAGTCTTACAATCCTAGTTTCATCCTTAAAACCCACATTTTAGAGGAAAAAATCCAACTTGTAAAAGTTGTTTTCTGACCTCTACACTCAGGTCATGATATGTCTACACACTAAATAAGTGACCATAATTTTAAAATTTTAAAGAAAATATTTTTCTTTCTTGAGATTAGTTTATTTGTAATTAAGAAGTATGCTGAGCATAGTGGCTACAGGGAAGACCATGTTACAAAACAAAGGAGCATTGCATGGATGGTGTGTATGCATTCTAAACTTTTTAATTTTCACTCATGCTCCCTTAATCCTCAATTTAACTTCAGTTCTTTAATCTTTGTCCCAGAATTAGAAAAATACTTCATGAGTTGGTAGACGTTCTGTGGCTGCTAAATCCAGCGTCTGAATATTAAACTAAACCCCATGATAAACCCGGTCTGTTTTCTGAATGAGTGTAATGTACAGGTCTGTGCATGTGAAGGCCAGAGGTTGATGGCAAATGTCTTCCTTAATGGCTTGCCACCTTATATATCGAGTGTCAAGACTTCTCACTTGAACTCAGTCAGGGCTCATAAATTCTGCTGGTCTAGCTAGCCAGCTTGCTTAGGGGATCTCGTCTCTGTTTCCTGCAATCCGGAGTCAACATGCCCTCCTGATATGTGGGTGCTAGAGATCTGAGTTCCTGTGTCATACATGCATGGCAAGTGCTTACTCCCTGAGCATCTCCCCAACCCCATCCTGTTTTTATTATTTACACACACATACACACACATATGTATATATCATAAAACTCACTCATTTAAGGTACACATTTAGACAGGGTTTAGTGTAGGTGTGGAGTGTTACCAGCTCTTGGTCATTTCATAGACTATTCTCATCACTCAGAAGTCTCATTCCCAACTGCCAGCCCACCTATCTCTATGGACTTCCCTATCCTGAGTATTTCCTCAGGTGGGATTGTACAGTATGTGGTCTTTTCCACTTACTATTTTTGTAAATCATTAAAGCTTCATTTACATAGAGCCATAGTCAGTTACATCCACAACTCTCCGTGACTGCTTTCCTACCATAAGATCGGGGGCAAGAATAGCCCCAAAGCATTCTGACTGTTCCTTTGTGGAAAAAACTTACTGAGTACTGCCTCTCAGCCTCTGGAATGAGGTATGGTGAGCCTCAAGAGCATGCAGCGTTGTTAGTAAGTTGGTCATGCTATTATCCCCAGCTCTTTCTGGTCTCTGCTGTTTGCCAGCATCCTGGGAGATCATGCATGAGACAGGGTCTTAAGGCAACCCGAGTACTTTAGATATGAACAGAGAATATCAACTCTATGCCAGACTCAGTTGTGTCCTGATCCAATGTGACTGACAGATCTTTTAAATGTTACACGGTTAGCAACGTCAGTGGTCAGCGCAGGTTCTTCTTGGCTGAACAGGTTCTTTATAAGTACATCGGGACCTTTTGTTCACCTGCAGGAAAGAGACCTGAGACCTGGAAATGATCATCTCTTGACTCTCAGTGCCTCTCGATACAAGCAGTCCCTTAACTTTCTCCATCCTGCCCTCCAAAATGCTCAGCATTGAGCCCTATCAGCCTACCTACCCCATGGTTGTTAACAGATACCCATATCTGCCTTCTAGCTAAGTTAAGAACATTCTAGGTTTGAACTAAATCCTTCTGATGATCTTCTGTTTTCCTCGGGAATGGTCTTTGTAGAGTGATCCTTTTTGACACTGATGTCTTCCTACCACCTTTACTATGCGCATTTTTTTTTCTCAACAGAGGACGCTGCTCCCTAGACCTTCTGAAAACCAGTCCCACAATGTGTGTTCCTTCTCCATCCTGTCTAATTCTCCTATAGCTGGTAAGACCAGGCATTCCTGGGATAGCTTTCCCTGAATATGCCTCACTGTGGACTATAGGTGTGGGGTTGCATTGTTATTGGTGTAACATTTCTTGCATACCTGTGCTCATTCTACAAGCATATACTTAGTGTACCCTGTGTTGGGCCTGCCTGCCATTGTGGCCAAGAACTCTGCCAGTGGCTGGAGTGGAGTGTACCTTTTTTTTCTCCCCGAGACAGGGTTTCTTTTTGTAGCTGTAGCCATAACTGTCTTGAAAGTCAGTAGACCAGGCTGGTCTCAAACTCACATCCACTTGCCTCTGCTTTCCAAGTGCTGGGGTTAAAGGTGTGTGCCATCACTGCCTGGCGAGTGTACCTTCTTTAGAGGTGTGCTCTGTTGTCTTTGTTGGCAGCACTTCTGAGTTCAGTGGAATGTATTCACTTTCTGCCTGTAGAGTCATGACAAACACTTATAAAATAAATGTGTTGTTGGGGTGTATAATGACATTTTTATATAATTTTTAAACTCAGTGGGTGCCCTGGTGCTTTAATGTAAGCCTTAGAAAGTGTGGGTTCTGCAGTTAATATATATGCTTGTTGATTTATCTTGACTAATCTTTTTTTTTTCCTTATGATTCTGGGGATCAAATCCAGAGTTGTAGACAGCTGAGCAATTGATGTATTTCTGAACTATGTCTCCATGAATCTTAGATTTACTTATTTTTTATGTATATGTGTAAGTGCCTGTAAGGGTGTCAAAAGCCCATGAAGGCCAGAAGAGATGTCAGATCTGCAGTTAGCGGAGGTCAAGTCATTGGGTGGGTGCTAGGAAACAAACCTGGGTCCTCTGCAAAAGCAGCAAGTGCTCTTAACTACTGAGCCTCTCTAGTCCCTTCATGAGTTGTCTTCTTTTATTTTTTAATTTTATGGGTATAGATTTTTTTTCTGCATGTATGTATGGGCAACATGTGCTTACCTAGTGCCCATGGAGGCCAGAAGAGGGTGGGGAGTCCCTGAAACTGAAGTTAATGGGTGATTGGGCACCATCATGTGAGTGCTGGCAACTGAACCTAGACCTCCTTCTTGAAAGCCTGTGTGATAATACTTCTCATTCCCCAAGTTAGCAAGTGTTTGGAGTCTTGAGTGACTTGCTATGATCCTAGCTGTGTCTGTGAAGGAAACCCTTCATAACCCCATTGTGCATTGTAGAACATGAACAAATCAGCTGATGTGACTACATTTGTTTTCCCCTTACAGGGAGAGGCTGGTTCCGGCCCATCCAGTCTTCTCTGACCAAAGCAGCTCTGTCTCGACCGATAGTGCCCAAGGTCCTCCCATCTCAGGCCACTAGTCACCTGCCCAGTAAGTCTGAAATGTACACAGTTGACAGCCACTATGTGAGGTTCCTTAGTTGCCTTTTTTGTCATACATCTTTGTAATATTCTCTTCTTCTCCAAGGCATAATGTCTTACTGCTTTGCTAAGCGTATTACAAATCCCTTGGGTCTTCACTGAAGAGAGGTGGAGGGAGAAGCTGTCCCAAGCTCTCTGGGCATACATCATGGAGTGGAGTGTTATGGAACAGAGGTTTGATATATCACTCCTGTTGCCAGGTGCCATCGACTTAGCAGCTCAAAGTGCTGGCATCATCCCTGGAAGTCCCTTACCAGTTTTAGATACTGATGGTTCATCTGGCATCTCTCCACTGACTTCAGAACAAGTAACCACTGCCATCTCGGGGCAGGGTGACACTGGACCACACCAGAACAGAGAGCCTGTTACTTCCGTAAGGGTGAGTGCATTTGCAAGTGCTGTTTGGCATTACCAATAGCTTCCGGGGCAAGGCCATGGGCTGGCCTTGTTGTCATACCAGACCCTGTTGCACCTTTGGAGGCCTGATGTGTTAGAGAAGACCCTGAGCCAGAGAAGCCAAGGTTTGTTCTACCATGGAACACAGAGAGGGAGGAGTGAAAAGACATGTTTTCTCTTTAATGTTAAAGAATCCATTGCTAAAACATGCATGATGGGATAGTTCTGCATTTCAACTCAAAGGCTGATATCAGCCCGTGGACCCTATTCAGGTGGTACTAAGTGCTTGCTATATCTTGGTGGAGAGTAGTTCATATACTCTTGACCACTTTTTTTTTTTAATCATGAGTCTCCGAATGCTCTGATTTCTTTGCCTGTTTGAAAGGAGATGCATGGGGAGACCCTATGGAGCTCTAGGACCTGCGAATATGTGACCAGCCTCTTACTGAGCTGTTAAGTATCTTCTTAAAAAGCAATAAAAGATTGTAAGTGCAGAGGCAATGCTCTTGTGACTCTCCATTATTTCCAGCCTGGAACACAGCCCATTCCTGCACCTCTGTCTGTAGGAGGACTGAGGTGTCTGAGAAGAGTTTTTCTTTGATCCTCAGCCAAACAAGCAGTGTGAACCACTCATCAGTCTTCTTGTTGTTCCAGGGCACTAGTGACCCATTTATCAGCGTTCCAAGACCAGAGCAGGAGCCAATGACAGACAGTTTCCAGGTAAAGTACACTTGAGGGCTTCAGTCCTCCCTGAGTGCACAGACCATTACCAGCATCATCGATGTCCTTCCTTGCTATTTCCTCATGAATGAATGAACCATGCTGTTTCTGGTTCCAGCTTCCTTCATTAAACTCCATGTCTAAAAGGACTGGGTTTTCTTGGCTGGGAAGCAGGACATAATTGGCTGGTGGCTTTCTCTGTTGGAGGGTTTGGTTTGGTTTGGTTTGGTGTTTCGCTGTGCATCTATGGCTGTCCTGGAACTCACTCTGTAGACCAGTCTGCCTTTGATCTCACAGAGCTCCACTTGCCTCTCCTCCTGAGTACTGGTATTAAAGACATGTGCCACCACTGCCCAGACAGCTGGTGACTTTCTGAGCATTAATTACTCTTCACCTAGATGCCACCAATGGAAAAAGTCTCAGGCTAACCTGGCTTTACTTTCTTCTAAAGAAGTATATTTCTTGAGTATGCTCCTCCTTTGGAAGAATGGGGGACTCCTGCATTTGTTGCAGCTGCCAAGCTAGAGATGAAGGTTGTACTCACTGTGACAAGTGCTCCTGGGCACCGTGTGTCCGAACAATATTTGTCTCCTTCCTGGCAGGGATCATCTGTTCTGTCCTTACCTGAGCTGCCCAAGACTCATCTCCAGAATGGCCTTTCCACACCTTTACCCTCATCAGAGAGCTCCAGCACCCGGCTCTCCCCACCCAATGTTTCTGCACTACTGGACATATCCCTACCTGGCCCACCTGAGGATGTTCTCTCACAGGGAGAACCTGCCACACAGATCAGTGACTCCATCATTGAGATTGCCATCAGCTCTGGCCAGTATGGTAAGTACAGGTGGCCTTTTATACCTTTTCAGAACCAGGTTCTTACTAAGATAGGGCAACCATACTTGCAAAGGGGACCTGAGTGTTATTTGCCTAAGTATTTGCCAAACTTCCTGGTAAAGTTCCAGCGTATTTGTCAGTTTTTAGCATTGAATATCTACCACTACTAGGTTCCTCTGCCTGGCTCTGGCAGGAGCAGTACCTGGAAGCTGAGCCACTGGTGGTCTGGTTGGGTTGCTCCTGACCTTGAGATGAGAATGGGATGGTTTAGAAGGCTTTATGAAGCCTGGGGATCAGTTTCCTATTTATGCATCTCTGGGAGGCAACCCACATGTTTTATAGCCGATGCTTAGGAAGTAGCTGCACAGACAGTCACTCATTCTGTGATGGTGTTCCTGGTGGTAATGGCACCCACTGCTTACATGACTCAGATTGTGGGGCTCAGACAGACATACGTTCTCAGCCTTTTAACCATGGACTTGGTAGGTCCTTGTCTAAGTCCTTGCTTTTCTCGGTTGTAGACTGGGAACTCTACCCCACAGGATGGAATCAGGAGCATGTGTTTCCCATGGAGCTGGTGCATAGCTCTGGGCACAGGGCCTGACCCTGCCTGTTATGTTTTGCATTGTGCCCTTCTTACAGATGAAGTTGCCTTGAAGACAGCTGTCCCTTTGGTGTGGACCCAGTGCATCCTGGGTATCCTGGGTTCAGTGATACATAGCCTCTGCCCCCTGCTGCCTTGCTCTGGGTTCAGGGAGGCATTGCTGACCTTGGATTTTGGTTGACAGGTGACGGAGTCCCTCTTTCTCCAGCAAAACTAAATGGCAGTGACAGTTCCAAGAGTCTTCCCTCCCCATCCAGCAGCCCCCAGCCCAACTGGATTGCGTCTCCCACTCATGACCCACAGTGGTACCCCAGTGACTCCACAGATTCCTCGCTCAGCAGCTTGTTTGGTAAGTGTTTCTGGAGGGATCTTCTTTCCAAGATTGGAGTCAGTCCACACCTCTGAGAGCTCTTTTGCTCATTTTCCAACTGTTTATTTCTGAATTAACTTTTTAAATGTGTAAATTACATATAGGAAAATGCAGATTTTCAGTGTGTAGTTCACTGAATGTTGGCACAGTTATAGACTCTGTACACAGAATATTCAAGTCACTCATCTGGTTTTCAGTGCCTTCTCTTGTCTGTCCAACTAGCTCAACCTTCCTACAGAGCTCTTACAAAGACAAAGAAAGAAACAAACCATACTATCTTTATGTTCTCAGTTTCTTTATATATTCAGTAAGATATTCTGAAGTGGATGTTGTATCTGACTTGTAGTATTCTTGACCACATATGGAGTATTGTAGAATGTGTCTTCCACCTCCTCCCCACCCCCCCTTTCCCCCCCCCCCCCCCCACCCCCCCCCCCCCCCCCCCCCCCCCCCAGAGAAAGATTCCATTCAGTTCTTATAACTTATCAAAGCTCTTTGTAGGGCAGGCTAAAGCTGAAGCAATGATGGGTCAGTAATGGCTAGGCCCAGCCTAGATTGCTAACCAATCATCCCTCTGACCCCCTGTTAAACCCAAACCTGTCTGTGCCTCAAATACAGGTTTGGGGGATGGAATCATGTTTATTTTGTTCCTCTTCCCAGTGGTGCCACAGTGATTGAATCTCTTTTTCCCTGCTTTTCACTATTGCTTGTTTCTTTAGTGCATATATTGAGAATCGGTGGTTAAGCTTAGCTTTTATAGTTGCCAGGACCCAGGCTTCTACCCTTACAATTCCAAACTTGATCATCCTTGGTTATGGGTACTATGCCTGGTGGGGAATACAGGAAACCAGCCCCACACCCAGTGGTTTTGCTATCTCAGACATGAGCAAGATCATCTGCAATCCATGAAGTTAGAATCAAACTTAATGCCCATCAGTCAGGGTCCAGCCACAGAGAATTCAATGCAGGAGAGTATAGCGCCTCGGAACCCTTAGGAAGTGATTAGGATGAATGTACACTAACATGAGATGACAAAAGCCTGTTATAGCGTAATGATGCCATCTGTAACCCTGGAAACAAGTGTGAAGAAGGTAGAGCCTAGAGAGGCCTGACTGGGCTAGCTGGACACCTATGTCTGACTCAGCTTTCTCTTTGCAGCCAGCTTCATATCCCCAGAGAAGAGCAAGAAGATGCTACCAACTACTGCTGTTGGGGCCAACAGTGGCACATCTTTGCTTGGCCCTAGCTTGTTGGATGGAAATTCAAGGGACTCTTTTGTGTCCAGGTCTCTTGCTGATGTTGCAGAAGTAAGTGCAGTGCCATATTCCTGAACTTACTGGGGTCTCTCCTAGGTCCTCTGGTCTTAAGGAATGTTCATGGGGACTGTGTATCAGATAGACAGCCATACATAGTCTCTGAGATCTGGCAGCACTGGGACAACTGATCGTCCACAGCAAACTGTAAGAAGCAGCTGTCTTGGGCTGGAGAGATGGCTCAGTGGTTAAGAGCGTTGCCTGCTCTTCCAAAGGTCCTGAGTTCAATTCCCAGCAACCACATGGTGGCTCACAACCATCTGTAAAGAGGTCTGGCGCCCTCTTCTGGTCTTCGGGCATACACACAGAATATTGTATACATAATAAATAAATATTTAAAAAAAAGAAGCAGCTATCTTTTGTAGGCTTCCTAATCTGGGAAACCTAGATCAAGATGGAGAGCCAAATCACCAAAGGCAGGAGAGAGCTGTTGAATCTCTCCCTGTCCTTCCCTTGCTGTGTAACCTTGGGCTGTCTCAGTTACCCAATCTGTAAGGTTTAATTCCATCTGGAAGATGTAATGTTATTTTATCACTTTCCTGCTCTTACTGCAGAAAGCCTTTGAGTATCATTTTCCTGTAATGTTATATGGCCATGATCCTGTAGGACTTGGGAACAGGTTCTACAGTAGAGTTCTGTTCTTTATTTACTTGTTCTTTCCCATGTTTGGGCTAGGCTGTCTGTTCCTCACATTGTGTGTGTGTGTGTGTGTGTGTGTGTGTGTGTGTGTGTGTGTGCGCGCGCCTGCCCAGCTAGTTAGGACTACAGAGCCAGCCCTGGAGGGAGGAGGGAGAGCAGCTGTGGCGCTAGCTACAGAGCTGCAAGCATCATGAGAGATTTGATTAAAGTACACACCATTTGAGAAGGATGCTCAACCAGCATTTCCCAAGCTGGTTCCCTGGATATCAAGGTCTTGCTATTTATTCCAGAAGAGGGTTTTTTTGTTTTTGTGTTTGTTTTGTTGGGGGTCTTTTCTTTTCGAGACAGGGTTTCTCTGTAGCTTTGGAGCCTGTCCTAGAACTACCTCTTGTATTCCAGATTGGCCTTGAACTCACAGAGATTCTCCTGCCTCTCCCTCCCTAGTGCTGGGATTAAAGGCATGTGCCAGCTCCAACCGGCTCCAGAAGAGTTTTATAGCCAGACGCTTGAAGTAAAGTTGAGCTGTTTCCACGATGAATGCTAGCATAATCCTGTAGTCACAGCAATTGGGAGACTTCGGAAGGATAGCTGTGGGTTAGAAATCAGCCAAGGCTAAAGAATGAAACCCTGTCTCAGGGGAAAAAAACAAACAAACAATAATAACTATAAATATACAACTTTTGGGGCGGGGCCAGAGAGATGGCTCAGTGGTTAAGAGCACTGGCTGCTCTCCACAGGACCTGGGTTTCAGTACCTGGTAACTCACACCTATCTGTAACTCCAGTTCCAAGACTTCTGACATACAGACATACATACAATACAACAAGCAAAACACCAGTGAACATAAAATAAAAATAAAAAAAGGCTGGGAGGACTGGGTTCATAAGTAAATTTTTGTTGAGGGAGCTGCGGGCCGCTTCCCTGCCGCCCCAGCTCCCAGCTGCCTGGCTAGCTTATGCCCCAAAATAATAACACCCAAACTGTATTCATTTACACTGCTTGCAAATTCATTTACATTAGCCCTAGCCCTTACTGGCTAATTCTGATATCCCCATCAACCCATCTCTAATAAACTGTGTAGAACCCGTCTTACCGGGAAAGATTCAGCATGTCTGACCTGGCGGCTTGCTTCATCCTGTCTGCCTCTGAGAGGAGCTGCATGATTTCTGAGCTCACTTCCTCTTCCTCCCAGCATTCTGTTCTGTTTACTCCGCCTATCTAAATTTTAACCTATCAGGGCCAAGGCAGTTTCTTTATTTAGCCAATGACCTTCCTCCATCAAAATTTTTTTTAATAATTTTTTTTTTAAGATTTCTTTATTTATTGTGTATACAATGTTCTGCCTGCATGCGTTCCCGCAGGCCAGAAGTTGGCGCCAGATCTCATCACAGGTGGCTGTGCACCACCATGTAGTTGCTGGGAACCAAACTCGGGACCTCTGGAAGAACAATCAGTGCTCTTATCCGCTGAGCCATCTCTCCAGCCCCCATAAGTAAATTTTTTTAAGCACAACTTTTTCACAAAAATACATTAGTTTCTCATTTTTCCAATGTGAATTTTGAGATGATGGAGTCATGGAATGCTTTGACTTCTGAACCATGACATTGTTGACAATTTCAGAACAGTATAAGAATAGAGGGATTGGAGAGATGCCTCGGTGATTAAGAACACTTAACTTTACACTCATAAGGACAGGAGTTTGGTTGCCAACACTCATGTAACAACCTGGCCGCCCAACCTTTGCCTGTAACCCAGCTTTTAAGGGTGGAAAGGCGCAAACAGGAGGATCATCTGGGACTTGCTGATTTCTAGCCTAGCCTAAAAATTTAAAGGTGGTGGTGGTGTGTGCCTTTAATCCCAGCACTCAGGAAGGAAGAGGCAGACGGGTCTTTATGAGTTTGAGGTCAGTCTGGTCTACAGAGCAAGTTCCGGGACAGCTAAGGCTATAGTGAGTGGCTTTTAGACATAAAACAAAGAAAAACCAGTCTACAGTCCACAACCCCAGAGAACCTAGACAACAAAGAGCACCCTAAGAGATATATAAGAGTCTGCATAGGAAGGCGCAAAAGACAAGATTTCCTTAGTAAATTGGGAGTGTAGGGGTCACAGAAGAGGGTAGAAGGGGATGGGAAGATAAGAAGGGGAGCGGAGAAAAATATATAGCTCAATAAAATCAATTTAATAAAAAGAATAAACAAAGGAAATCCTATCTTGAAAAACCAACCCCAAGAGCAATCCTGCCTCACAGGAATAGGTGGAGAGTGATGCACACAAGAGTCTGCATGCAGACAAATCCATGAATTGTTACAGTAGTGCAGCAATACTATGAATCTTCCTCACATATCTTTGTGTAGTGATGAGTGTGTTTATGTGTACACATATGTGTGGAAGCCAGGAGTCCACAAATCTTCCTACCTTAATTTCTCTCCATCTTATTTTTTAAATTTTATTTAGTTATCTACTCTGTCCTTATGCCGTGAAAGTGTGGAGGTAGTGAGGGGTTAGATCTGAGCACAGCTTATAAGAATTGGTTTTTCTCCTACTCTGTAGGCCCCAGGGGTTGAACACAGGTTATTTGCATTAGCAGCAAGCACCTTTATCCACTCAGTATAGCACTAGCCTGCTACCTTATTTACTGCAGGAAGCTGGACCTGGAGCTCATTGATTCTGGCCAGTGAGCTCCAGGAGCTACCTGTCTCTGATCTCCTAGCTTTATATGAGTACTGGAGACTCAAGTCTCCTCATGCTTTCAAACTCAGATCTTCATACTTTCATGGAATGCACTGTACTAACTATCTCTGGAACCTTGTCTTGTACAAAATTTGGCATTTCTCAAGTCCCTTCACTATGGATTCTTTACTCATAGGGCTCCTTGTACATAAATGTTTTACAGAAAAAAGACTGTTCTTTCCTTTCCAGTTAGTTGGACACTATAAGTCCCTGGTATTTATGACATGGGCACTACCTGGAGGTCAAGAATGCTGAGTTTCAAGCCAGCCAGACTCCCAAGTCAGCATTTGCATTTTTCCTGGTGATGCGGTATTCCAGACAATGAGCAACACAGAATACTGTGTCAGTAGCAAGTAAAGGACACATTCACCTGCAGAAAGAGCCAGTATGTTCAGCAGAGGGTCTTCCCAAGAACTCTGTACTTTAATGACCTCTGCCTTTGGAAAAGGCTTTCAACATCTGGAAGTGTTGAAATCATTTATGATGGAGTGGTCTGATAATGGAATCTTAGTGAGAATAATGGGTCAATTTTATGGGGAGAACAGAAGCTGTTTTGGTCACAGGTTGATACCATGGACGCAGGGTAGGAATACATAAGTGGAGGAAGTCTGTTTGGGACATGATCTTGCTGTATACTTTGGACTGGTCTTTAACTCACAAAACTTCTGCCTGCTTCAAAAAATATGGGATGTACATCACTTCCTGTCTTTGCTCTACTTTTTTTTAAACGTGTGTGTGCGCGCGCGTGCATGCATGTGCACATGCATAGCAGTCAAAAGAGAACTCATAAGAATGTTTTCTTCTTCTACACTGTGGTTCCAGGAATCAAGCTTAGATTATCAGATTTGGCAGCAAATACTGTTACACCCTATACCATCTTTCCAGCCCTCCTTTCTTTAGAACAAATTTCGATTTGTTCAACATTTCCAGTAAGAATTTTAAAATTTGCTGGATGATAGTGGCACATGCCTTTGATCCCAGCACTTGAGAGGCAGAGATAGGTGGATCTCTTTGAGTTTGAGACCAGTCTGGCCTACAGAGAAAGTTCCAGGATAGGCTCCAAAGCTACAGAGGAACCCTGTCTTTTTTAAAAAAAAAAAAAAAAAAGAATTTTAAAATTTAGTTCTTGCTGTATTTATTCATATCATGTAGTTAGTTCACTGAGAAAAATTCATGCAAGTCTTACCAAATGTTACTACAGTAGCTATGTGGACAGAAGTCCCTGTTCTCACGAGACTTCACTATAATGGTGAGACAATAAAGTGTCATCTCCACAGGATAATGTCTTTACATACCCAGGACCCTCCCAGTAGTTCTCTCTCTACCTTGATACTATGCTGAGCATACCGTTTTCTAGTGTTTTTTTGAGTAGCTGCACTCTGTGCCTCCTCACGCATGTTGGTGTACCCATCCCCACATGCGATCCTGGTGCTCTGGAGATCCTCATTTCGTTGTCTCTGAGCACCTCTCTCTGCTTGCCTTGATCTCCGCCTTCTCTTGTCACTGTTGACCTTTCTGTGGACTGTCTTCTTCGTGAGTGTCGGGGCGTGGCTGCTATAATCTCAGCATCTAGGTGTTTCGTGTTCCCAGGGACTTTCTAGGCTGTCGTGCAGAGTATGCACTTCAAGAAAGTCCATGTGCCTAGACCACCACGGTTTCTGAAGTTCCTTGTAGAGTAATAGGCTCTTTCTGTTGACATTCTGCTCTTGGAGCCATCGTCCAGCTAATTTGGTCTTCTTGTCCCTTCTGTCCTACAGGTGGTAGATTCCCAGCTGGTGTGCATGATGAATGAGAACAGCATTGACTATATATCTCGATTTAATGACCTGGCACAAGAACTGTCCATTAATGAACCTGGCCGACGAGAGGTTCTTTTTGATGGTGGAGGATGTGGTAATCCTGTCGGTGACCTCTCTCAGTGACGGTGCCTTGTGACATGGGCATCCTGGAATCCACAAGGGAAGTCTGTGGGGCTGGCCCATGAAACTGTCTTCACAGTAGGGAGAGTGAAGCCCAGAATCCCCAGAAGACCGTGAACCAGAGCACCTCCAACAGCATACGATGTGCAGCCCATAGGAGCAACTGAGCATGGTCTGTCCCAGCAAGCAGGGACAGTACCGTGCACAGAGACCAGGACAAGCTCTGAGAAGGGCAGACATCAGAAATTCTTTGAGTATCAGCCCCTCCTCAATCCTGCAGGCTGTGTGGCAATCCCACCTGTTTATCTGCATGTGAAGCCTTCTAGAGGGTCTCCTTCTTGCAAGAGACGTGCCTGGTGTTCCTTTTGTCTTGGGAGCTGTTATTCCTGTGTTCAGGAAGACCACAGCCACTGCTGCTTTCTTTCTGATATCCTTTCCCCACTTGGCTGTTGTGTATGTAGTGATATTACAAGGGATAGTGAATATGGATCAGGCTCTTTCTTGGTGGTATCTACAAGCTAATACACTTTCTGGATGCCTTGACGATGAAGCAGAGTCAGTAGCTATCAGAGGTTTGGTTCTTCCTGACATAAAAGGGGGAAAAGTATGTCTTGTAGGTTGTATGGATGTTTTATACAGTCCTACAAAGCTGGTTGGAAATGTTTCTTGTGGTTTCAGAATAGGAGACATGGCCAGACTGCGGTGATGCATACCTTTAATTCCAGCACTCGGGAGGCTGAGGCAGACAGATCTCTGTGAGTTCGAGGTCAGCCTGATCTATAGAGCTAGTTCCAGGACTACTAGGGCTGTTACACAGAGAAACCCTGTCTCGAAAAACAAAACAAAAAAAGTAGACATGAACAAGGAATATTAAGAGTCCTCTATGTAGGTGGCTTTGCTCTCTTCCTGTGCTTAAACGCCAGTTCTTTCTAGGTGAAATAAGATACCATTCTACTTGCCTGCCCCCCGCACACAATACACTGCTGTGTCTATAAAGCTTTTGTGTGTGCTCTAATATTTTTATGTATTATTGCTAGTGTCTGAAGGGTATCTTTACCCCAGGCTGCCTCTCTTCCTATTCTGGAACTCAAGCAGGGTTCACATGTCAGAGTATGTTAAGAGCTCACCACTTGGTGGTGTTTTAACAGCTCTTTCCTGGACCCCAACTATGGTCAGCAATCATGATTGAGGCCATCCTGCTTAGAATGGCGCCAACAAGAGTTTTGCCCTCTTAGATCCTTGCAGCACAGTCACTCTCCTGGCCCCAGTGTGTTCAGGGTGAACAGGTGACGTGTGCAGTACCCTCTCACCAATTCCTCTCCACACAGCAGCCAGGACTGACAGGTCCTTCTCTTTTCTTTTCTTCACTTTTGGCAGGGTTTTTCTGTAGACCAGGCTGGCCTGGAACTCGGAGATCTGCCTCCCAAATGCTGGGATTAAAAGCGCGCACCACCACACTCGGCTTGACAGTCCTGACTCCTGAAACTGAAACTGCCACCTCTGCTCTCTACCTGTTCTCTCCTTCCTTGCAGAGTAGTCCTTGAGACCATCCTAGAATGCAGACTCAACTGCAAGAACTGAGAGGATACTGGTTCTTGACAGCAAATTCCTTTATCTCCTAGCCGCCTCCTTTCACTGGCACCTGTAAAGGATCTGCCCCAGATCCTGACATGTATCCCCTAGGTCTGGTAAGTCTAAAACCCTTAGAAGATGAGAAGAGCAGTGAGTGGTGCTGTTAGGAAAGACTGGTGAAGTCCCTAGTGTAGTGTATCTTTACCCAGCTGTGTGCTTTCAGCATGCCTTTACTGAGCTGCAAGTTTTAGATCTTGGGACTGTGACATGATTAGGATACTAGATTCAGCCTAGATCGTTGCTAATTGCCCTTCCACTATTTCAAGCAGACTTTCCCACGTTAAGAATGGGTGCTCTTGGCATCCTGTTAACTGAGCTTATAGCACTAGGCAGTTGGGTTCCTGAGCTGATTCCCATCAGGTAATGAATGCCTTGAGGCACATGCAACTCTATGATCTCTAAAAGGAGCTGAGACTGTTTTGAACAGCAGAGGCTACAACCCTTGTCTTCTAGCAGCAAGCAGGGGTGGAATGAGCTGATTCTTTACTGCAGGGAACCTGATAGGTTTCCAGAAGAGTCTACTGCTTCTTTAACAGCCAGACAGGCATATTTGCTCATCATCACCATATTAAAGGACAAATAGTGGCATTTGTAGCTGAGAATCAGTGGGTATAACTTCTCACAACTTAATCAAATATCCATACATAAATCTGGAAACTGCTAAAGGTTAGAAATTTGTAAAGACAGCAAGAAAGCCTCCTTTCTGCATCTTTCTCTGCCTTTCCATCAGTTTTGATGGCTCCTGTTCACCTAGGGCTTCCTTTGTGCATTGGAACTTAGTGTGATATACATGAGATCACCCCTATCCCCAGGTTCTCTGTGTAATCCTGACTGTTCTGAACTCAAGGAGATCCGCCAGCCTCTGCCTCCTATGTGCTGGATAAGGACATATCCAGCTGGATAAAGGTGTGTGCTACCACCACCAGGCTAAGAAATTTTTCTGTTAATACTAATGACTTAGACTTTTTGTTGATTTGTCTTTTCAAAAAGATTGAGATCTAGTATCTCTGGTGCTTGGTGTGGATTATTCCCTAGAAAAGATGCTCAGGCAAGTTGAAGTTCATATATCCTGTAGAGGCATAGTACTTGCTCAGGGAGTATGACTTTGGGGACATTTCATATGTTGGTCAACCTTTTTTCCCACCTTGTTCTTTTTTCATTCCTTGTGGCCTCACTGCTAGGGGATGTCTCATACAGTTAAATCGCATTTTTAACCAGACCACATTATTAGAAATGGTCATAACAAGCTTAGAGGGAAATTGTTTTATGTACTTTTAAAAACATCTGCTAGACGCATTCATGAGGAAATATCATACTTTGTCTCTAATTTAAAAGAAAAAAAAAAAGAGGAAAATTTAATTTGAAAAAAGAAAAAACCACAGTATACCGTTCCAAGATGATCGCCTGATGAGGTCAGTCCAGTTTTGGAAGCACTGTACCAGCCAACCCTTACTAGTTAGTAAGATCGCAGGCAGGAGGGCTGCAGCCTGCAGGCAGGACTCAGTGCTGTTTGCTTTGATAATCGTTAAGCCATATCATCTGAGGTTTCCGGCTTGAGATGTGAATTTGTTTTATAAACTATAAATATACAGTGTATGTATAAAGCAGAATGCCTGTCCTTCTGATTATTTTTTGTACCATATTGTAAATTACATTATTTATTCTTTACCAATTTTTGGGGAATAAAAGGTGTTTTGGTTATTTAATATAATAAACAAAAACTGTTAAACTTCAGCTAAAATTTCCAGTTCAGCTTGTAAATGTTTTTATTGTGCATAAATACATACTAATACTTGATCTAATGACTGTCTTTTGTTCCTACTTTTAAAGCCAGTATGCTTGAGGTTCTGGCGAAGGCGCTACATTAGTGAGATGAGCCCTGAAACCAACCGGCACGGATGGACATAGCAGGAGAGTTAGGCGAATCCTAGGGGTAGACAGGAGGACCTCAGGGAACGAAGGTTGAGTGACCGCTGAAAACAGAGGTGGAGGTCTTTGCACAGCCCGCTGCTTCTCTTTTGGGCATGGTCTGCGCCACCTTTGAACCCTTGCTTCCTCCTGAAGGCGTTGCTACCCCAAAGAAGCCAGCCACCACCCACCCCGAAACTTGCTAGCAGGCGGTGGGGAGAGGGGTGGGAATATGTCCGCATGGAAATGCAGATTCCTACTCTTAGACTCGCTAGTGTCGGAGGGTGGGATGAGCTGTGGTCCAATGCCTACGCCTGAAGCCGTGAGAGGCGGATGCTGGGGCCAATCGGCTGTAAGCGCGATGCGGTACTCTTCCAAGCCTGCCTCTCATTGGAGCAGGGGGAGGGGCGGGGTATGACTCTGCGATAGGCTGCGGAAGTGTGATTGGCGCGGGAGGCGTCCAACGGGCTTGGGCGGGTCTGGGTACCTGCGAGGGACCAAGCGGGAACCGCCGCGCGGCGGCTAGAGAGACGCGGGGCGGCGGCCGACATGTTCCAGGGCGCGGACGGCCAGCCTGGCGAGTCGGGCTCCAGGTACGCAGGCCGGTGCTGGGGTCCGGGTGGGCGCGGAACTACAGCCACGTGGCGGGCGGGAGACCCTGCAGATGCGGTGGGTGTGGCTCGTGGCTCCCCTGAGGGTGCTGAGCGAGCTCTCCCGGGTTGCCTGAAGCCGGGCCTCGCAGGAAGGCTGGGGGTCGAGCGAGCGGAGTGGAGACCGGGCGGCGGGACGAAGACACGTGGCTCTCCTGAAGCGCTAGTCGGGCGCCGCCGAGCTCCGTTTGCCGGATCCTGAATCTTTCCCGCGTACACCAGCTTGCTTTGGTTGGTTACGACGACCCTTGAATGTAGCTGAGTGGCGGCAGCAGTCTCTGACCCAACCCACGGCCAGGTGTTCATCGGGTGCACGTCCTGGTCCTCCCTGGCCGGGGACCTTCCCAACGTAGTTCCATCTGGACTTTCCTTCTGTCTGATCTGCTTTGAGTGACAAAATGAAACTGGTGTTCATGACTTCCCGAGCTCCGGAAGTTAGTGGTGAAGTAGGCGTCCACGGAGAGGATTTTAGAAAAAGGAGGAATTCCCCATTTGATACTGGAGTGAGGGCCAAGAGAAGGAAACTGCCGAACATGGTTGATGAAGTCTCAGTCTGGGCCATGTTCAGTAGAAACAGTGCTTTGGGTGGCATTTGACCCCGGTTGGGAGGAAGCTAGCGCCTAGTCAGACTCATTGCCTCAAAGTCTTTGATTTTTGCCTGAAGCTACTGTAAGGTCTCCATTTCAGTTTTTCCTCTCTTCTAACCCTGTCTTTTGTCTCTTTGCTGAAGGATTTTCTTGTGCTGGGGATTTTTGAGCTGTAAAAACATTATGCTATTGCCGTCATTCATCCATTAAATGGATAATGGTGAAGAATGTGCCCACATTTGTTTCTCGTGGCATTATCCCACACCTGACCAGTTTCTAAAAGTTTTTCTGAAGTTCAGCGTTGCGGGATGGTTCGGGGTCATTGATACTGTTGAGGCGTTTTCTCGTGCCATAGTCCACTTGAAGTGTGTGGCTTTTCATCTTAGTCTATGTCTCTTTTATTCTCTTGTATAATTTGAATATTTATGCTGAAAAAAGAAAAAAGTAATTGGAATGTACCCCCACATTGTGAATTTGGCCCTAAAATCTGAGCTGGCTAATCTCTTGCTAGCCTCTTCCATTCCATTGGTGTTAATGTGATAATGGCTGCTAGGAGCTTCCAGAAGGCCACACTGTGCCATTGTTCTGAGCCCTGTTTATTGAAAGGCCTATTGAACTCTCAGTCCCATTTGTGAGACCCTGCTGGGGCAGCCTTAAGACTTGCATTGCTGTTGTAGGCTGTGCAACTTGTGCTTGCCCCATTGTCTTGGGGATGGAGGTGGACACTGCTGCAGCCCAACTGGCCCATTATCTTTGTCAAAACTTTGTATAGCACCACTTTACCTTGCTTGTTGTCAGATTAAAATCCCGACAAGTAGACAAAGTGATACTAAATCCTTAATTTCTATACCCATATTAGCATTAATTTCAATAACTACCTTTGTCTCCTGCATTCCCGCCGTGGACTCAGCTTGTCTCCTCCCGAGGTGGCTTTGAGGTTCCAGGAACACGGTGCTTCTATTGCATCATGCACATGGAACACAAGCCATTGACGCAGACCTGGCTGTACTGTTAGCTCTAGAGGTCCAGGCCATACACTTGATCACCCCGTGTTTTGCGTCTGGAAGTGGGTGCAGAATAACCACAGAGAGACTGGGAAGGTGAGAGTGTAGAGCCAAAGACAAACACCCGACAGGACACTAGTGGCTTGGAAAACAACTGTCTTCAAATACACAGATATGAATAAAATAAAGCTAGGAATATTCATGCCTACTATCCCAGCTCATGGGACCAAAAAGCCTGGGATGGTCAAAACAGGTTTGTGTCAATGGGCACTGATGGCAGGCAGTCTAACTTACCCATCAACGTGCATGGTCTAAATCTTTGGTTTTTTTTAAATTGTGCTATATATTTTTCTCTGCTCCCCTCCCTTCCTCTCTCCTCCCCTTCAACCCTCTCCCAAAGTCCCCATGCTCCCAATTTACTCAGGAGATCTTATCTTTTTCTGCTTCCTATGTAGATTAGATCTATGTAAGTCTTTCTTAGGGTCCTCATTGTTGTCTAGGTTCTCTGGGATTGTGATTTGTAGGCTGGTTTTCTTTGCTTTATGTTTAAAAGTCACTTAAACATATGATAATTGTCTTTCTGGGTTACCTCACTCAATATGATGTTTTCTAGCTCATCCATTTGATTCAAGGTATCATTTTTTTTCTGCGGTGTAGTACTCTGCTGTGTAAATAAATGTAGCATGGTCTAAATCTTGTTGAGAATTTTCTAATAGGCTTTTAGTTAAACTTTTTTTCCCCCTTTTCAGATGAACTTTTCAATCCTTTCCTATGGCCCCACAAGAAATGCTAACTGTTGACAGGGCAGGTTTGGCACATCCTCTTTCCCTCTCCTCCCCAAGAAGACAGTGACCTGGCACTGGTTCAGGGTCCTGTCGGTACATGCCTGGCATCTGTGGCGTTGAGTGTCCAGCCTGGATTTTCTGTTGAAGCATGACTGGCACATTTTGTCAACCTGAGATCCTCACTTTATACTTCTCTGCCTTAGAGCAGGCAATCTGAGAACTTTGTTCACATTCCGCAGAAGTGGATGGCCTCTCTGGGTGAAACAAACACATTTTAGATACTTTTGCTGTTGTTGTTAACTAACCCTAGAGTAGTTTCTGTTTGCATAGCTTTTCAGTCAGCCCTATCCTCCATTCTTGTCTTTTATGTGGCAACCATTCTTTGATTTTAAGTATTTTTCTAAATGTCTGAGGTCATCAGTCTCAATGCTCAGAGCTAGTGGAAGAGGGTGGAACCCGGTGTGGTGCACAGCTGTGGGAGGCAGAGGCAGAAGGATATCTGGGAGTTTGGAGCTCTTACACAGAGTTCCAATACAGCCACCACTGCATAGATAACCTGTCTTAAAACCAGAGAGATGTGGACCATTTGCTGGATTAAAATTTACTTTCAAGCGGCTGTGTATTGTTTTTAATTTTGAGATGGTCTTGGGTGGCATTGCATTCTCTATATAGTGGAGGATAACTTGTTTTGGTTTTGAGACAGGGTCTCTTTTTATGTAGGGTGCCCTGTCTGTCCTGGAACTTGCTATATCATAGAGATCCATCTGCCTCTGCCTCCTGAGTGCAGGGATTAAAGGCGTACCCCCACTATGCCAAGCTAAGGATAACTTGAATACTGATCTTTCTACCAAGTGCTGAGATTCCAGGTATGGCTACCATGCCTGACTAAAAGGCATTTTAATAAGTCTAACCAGGTGTTTGAAATAGGCCTACAAATCTTTCTCCATGTTGCAGTTGTATATCTGTGCTCTGGACTCGAGGACCAAGCTTTACGGTAATTTTATAGGTCGTCAGCTGACAGTAAAAATTATCCACTTTCTAACTTCCCTGTAGTGCCTGGTAAAGTTTCCTTCCCAAAGGTTGGGGCCTAAGGTAGGTGTTGCCGTTGGAAGCCACATTCTTTATGAGTGTTTGATTAAAGGCTGTGCTTGTAGAATATCAGTAGAGTTTAGAGGGGTGTTCAGTGCACATGCCCTGAGCAGAAGTAGGTAATGCTGCCAGTGAGGTGGTTCTTTTCTAGTCTAGGCACTTCACTGCTTACACCAGACATCCTAGTATAGCGAATCTTTACGTCAGGAATTATCAGAGATGATGAACCCAAGATAAAGAGAAACATGGAACTTGTTAAAATTAGAAGGGGTCTGTATTAAAACCCAGCAAAGGATCTAGGGTATAGGCTACACCCTAATGCCTTCCTAAAGGTGTCTGGGAAACATAAGGGAAGAACACCTTTATCGTGTACTTACGGTCGGGCCAGACCCCAGATCAATACTCATGAGTTCTAGCAGGGGAGTCCCTGGCTACCTTAGCTACTAAGCAGAAGGTTGGTAAAGATAAGGACGTGCTTACATGTAAACTATGTAGCAAAGTTGAGACAACATGGAAAAGAAAGCAAAATAGAATCTTTTTAATCATGACTTTTATCCTGATCAGAATCTAAAATGATATTGGCAGAGTATTAAAACTAATTTCTGGCTCGGCAGTGGTGGCCTTTAATCCCAGCACTCAGGGAGGCAGAGGCAGGTGGATCTCTGAGTTCTTGGCCAGCCTGGTCTACAAGAGCTAGTTCCAGGAAAGCTAGGGCTGTTACACAGAGAAACCCTGTCTTGAAAAAGCAAAAACAAAACTAATTTCTAATCCTCATTTCTGTATAATATGACTCTTAATGTAAAGTTCCGCCGGGCGGTGGTGGCGCACGCCTTTAATCCCAGCACTTGGGATGCAGAGGCTGGCGGATCTCTGTGAGTTCGAGACCAACCTGGTCTACAGAGCTAGTTCCAGGACAGGCTCCAAAGCCACAGAGAAACCCTGTCTCGAAAAACCAAAAAAAAAAAAAAAAAAGGTAAAGTTCCGTGTGTGGTTCACCTTACTCTACCCCTGTGTATGTGTCTTTCTGTGTAACCCAGCCTGAACTCTAAATCCTGCCTTCATCTCTCCCGAGTGCCATCATACTGTCAGACCTTGTGATGAGCTCGCTTCTGTTCACATCATTTCCATAGGAAAGCGGCCATCGACACCAATCCTAGTGAGGCCTGGGAGCCTGTGGTTGGCTGTCATTCACTTGTGTTCTCTCTGTTCATAGATCCATGAAGCCCCCAGGAGGAGAATCGAGCAATCTTTTTGGAAGTCCAGAAGAAGGTGTTCCTTCAAGCAAACCTAATAGGATGGCATCTAATATTTTTGGACCAACTGAAGAACCTAAAAACATACCGAAGCGGACAAATCCTCCAGGTGTGGTCTTTGTACTTCTTAGAGCCTTTGGCCTTCATTTTCTTCTGTTCTTCTAAAATATTGTCTTAGGGCTTCTGTTGCTGTGGTGAAACACCAGGACCAAAGCAAGTTGGGGAGAAAAGGGTTTATTTGGCTCACAGAATGCCTGATGGCTTGCCTACAGCTCACTCTTAGGAAGCATTTTCTTAATTGAAGTTCCCCCCTCCCGAAGACTACAGCTTGTGTCAAGATGACATAAAGCATCGTTTTGTTTTGTTTTTTAAGACAGGGTCTCACTCTGTAGACCAGGCTGGCCTTGAACTTACAGACACCTGCCTGCCTCTGCCTCCCTCCTACTGTGACTAGAGACATGCCCTGTCATGCCCAGCTTGTTCTGAGTTTTTGCTTGGTTGCTTTTTGTTGTTATTTGAAGACAGAGTCTGTCTGTGTAGCCTAGATTGTGAACTCAAAACCTTTCTGTTGTCTCCTGTGTCTGAGACTTCCGGTGTGGACCACGTGCCTTGCTTTTTTGTTTGTTTGTTCGTTTTGTTTTGTTTTTTTTGAGACAGGGTTTCTCTGTATGACAGTCCTTGCTGTCCTGGAACTAGCTCTTGTAGACCAGGCTGGCCTCAAACAGAGATCCACCTGCCTCAGCCTCCCAAGTGCTGGGATTAAAGGTGTGCACCACCACTGCCTGGCTTATTTGGTTTTCAATGTTTCACCTTGAATTCTTAGTCTTCTGAGTTATGTTCTTTGAGTTTGACCAAGCCAAATTTCCATAGCAAATAAAGTGAGCCTCTATGGACAGCACCAGGAATGAGTCGCCTAGTTTTGATTTCCTTCATCACCACATGTATCGTTTATTTCCATTTTACAGCTCAGAAGGTAGAGGTGACACAGTTAATGAATAACTAGGCAGGGACTCCCTGGCAGCTCTGCTACATTGTGTTGCCTTCTCCAGGCAAGAGTGCTCAGCACGGGGACTGGTCCTCAGGAGGTGTGTGAGCGAGGTTCATTCTACAGTTTTAAAAAGATGCAGCCCTTATATAGCCACCCCTAAGTGTGTTATTTCTCCCTTAAAAAGACAGGCCCTCTTTCAGTCTCCACTTTGTTTGTTTGTTTGTTTTTGGTTTTTCTAGACAGGGTTTCTCTATGTAACAGCCCTAGCTGTCCTAGAACTCGCTCTTGTAGGCCCGGGCTGGCCTTGCACTCACAGAAATCCACCTGCCTCTGTGCCCCCCACCCCACCCCCCAGTGCTGGGATTAAAGGTATGCACCACTACCTGGCTCCAGGGACATTTTTATGTAAATAAAGATTCAAAATAATCTTTATAGAACACAACTTTAATGTAAAAAGAGGGGGAAGTCTCGTTCGTTTGAATATGGATAAAGAAAGTGACCACTCCACTCTCAGGTCCCCTCTACACCAAGCAGTTATCTGAGAGCAAACGGAAGCAGAAGAAATCTAACAAGTTGTTTTAAAGAGTTTTGACCTAGGCGATCTCTGAGTTCAAGGCGAACCTAATCCACAGGGGAGTTCCAGGATAGCAGGACTACACAGAGAAACCTTGTCTTGAAACCCTACCCCCACCTCCAAAAATGTCCGTGGAATGCTTTTTTAGTTTATGGTGGTTTGGCTTTACCTGGGGAGATGTAAACAGACTTCTGTTCACCTTAGATATCCCCTCAGTAACAGACCAAATAAACAGTCCATGCAAGTCCAGCTGGTCAGCCACTGAGTTACTGGGGTTGTTTATGGAGTGTCAGGAAGGGTTACTTAGGGGCATAGCTCCAAAACAGCTGCATCACTGAAAAGGCCTTTTTCAGCATGGACGTGGCCTCCTAAAAGACACATAGGTTTAATCCTCTCTTTAGGTCTGTATGTCCTAACATTTCCTGAGGCCATGTGTATCTGGGTCGTACAGCTAGAGACAGTGGGGAGGGAGTGGCTAGAATTCCAGGTGAGGGTGTAGCGACCTCTGAGGGCAGTAGTCCACAGGTCTCACTCAGGTAGTCACAGCTTCTCTGATTATGGCAATGGATGTTGTGCCTGGAAGACAGTGCTCCAAATCATATGGGAAGCATAGTTGGCATGTATTGATAATTTGCACTGTAGATGTTGTCTCGAGCGTTTATCCAAGGAACTACAGCAACTTACAGAATACAACCCATTTGTTGTCCTTATTGTTAAATTAAGGGATTGGAAAGCCAAGGTATCTTAGAGCAACATGGGTAGTCATTGGGGTGCTTCTTCTATTATAGATTATAGCTCCTGCTGGTGTACGAAAGCCATGATTTGTCTGCCTCTATCTGGCGTAATGCTGTGGGGAAGGGGGTGCTCGGTATATACTGAGTGAAGACATCAATTGGTGTTTTGTACCTTTCTGCCTAACGTAGGCATCCTTGTATAATGTCCAGGCCTCAGGCCATGAGATCCTTTTGAGATGCACTGTTTCTGTCATAGCCTCAGAAACTCAAGGGGCAACCAGGGGCACATCTCCCGACTTGTTGACATCTAGTCGTCGTCCCTACAAGTTCTGGCCAGGAGGAGGTCAATGACTAACCTTATTTTCCAGATTGTAGGTTCACCATGAATAGCAGTGAATTAAACATTCAGTTATTGCTTTTAATCTGCTAAGAACTCTTGCTGATTAACAGAGGAGACTTTCCACTGGAAAAGGGAACTCTGGGGAGAGGTGGTGTTTTATTCCTTCCCAAGGGCGGCTTAGCTGTGCTTGCAGAAGCTGCAGCAGACCAGGTTAAGGATTAGTTGGGATGGAAGCCTTCAGGGACTTAAAATAATTATTCCTTCCCTATTGCCCTGGAACGCAGGAAGGCATTAAGTCTACTGATAGGCTGTCTCTCGAGGTAACCGCAGTTGGGTAGGTTCAGATGGTGTTCTGACATTCACTGTTCTGTGATTGTTTCTGCAGGGGGCAAAGGAAGTGGTATCTTTGATGCATCGACTCCTGTGCAGACTCGACAGCGACTGAACCCACCTGGCGGGAAGACTAGTGACATATTTGGGTCCCCAGTCACTGCCACTGCACCCCTGGCACACCCAAACAAGCCCAAGGTATGGACAACATTCAAATAGCAGACAGAAGAGGAAAAAGTTGTGCCAACTTAACTTTTCTAAAAGTGCCAACGCAGCTGTGACATCGTTAGGAAGAGTCGGGCAGTATTGGTTTCCCAGCATGGCCATTCATCATTAGGTTTGGAGTCACCCAGAAAACATGTCTCAACCTCCTCACACTGGGAGAAGTAGTCATGTTCATCTCTGCACAGCAGCTGCCAAGCACTTGTCTGTGCTACCTGACTTTGTATATACAAGGTCTGGTGACTGAGCACAGTGCATGAGGGTTTGACTCTCATTGATTATTTGAAAGGAAAGATGTTGGGTTTGTTCTTTCTATAGTACTAGAGATTAAACCTGGGGCTTCATACACTCTAGATAAATGTTTTACCCGTGAACTCTCTCCGCAGCTTGACCTTGTATTATCTTTGAGGGTTTATGGTCCTAGGCAAACAGGGTTGCAGGCCTCTGAGCCAGTGAAGGCTCCCTTGATAACATGAACTCTTGCCTGTACTCCCAACTCGGGAGCTGCTGGGAAAACACCACCAGAGCAATGTGACTTTGGACTTGACATTTGGATGTACTGATTAGATCTCTGAACACCCTGACCTGGGGGCCTCTAGAGGCTTGGCCAAGGCCAGTCTTAGCTTCCCTGTGTCCCAGAGCTTATTGGTAATGAAACCCAGAACTATATTATTGTTATAATTGTTAGCGATATCTTTGTTTTAGTTACTATTTTTTATTTAAAATTTTCTTAGCTTTTTAGATTTTGTGTGTTCGAGTATTTTGCCTATGTGCATGTTTGTATGCCATCTGTGCACCTGGTATCTAATGAGGTCAGAGGGCATCAGATCCCCTTGTGGAGGCAAGGGTGACAGTGAGCTAACATCACTGTTGCAGTTCAGCAGGGTCCATGGGACTCAGTCACAAGTCTCTGTCTTGCCGTATTAGAGATCCAACATGCTAGAGATGCACCTAACCACTGAGCAGCACTCTAGCCTACAAAAAGTTTATTTATTGTAAATTGTGTTATTTTTAATTAGTAGGTGTGGCAGCAAGAAGTGTGTGCATGTGAGTATAGGTACCCTCGGAGGCATCTTATTCCCCTGGAGCAGTAGTTACAGACAACTCTAACTGGGAACCAATCTCAGATCCTGTGGAAGAACAGCAAGAGGTCTTAACCACTGCGCCATCTCTCTAGCCCATGTTTCAAAAGTTAAAAATAAAGCAGACCTAGCCTGATGGTGGGACACTTTAATCCCAGCACTCGGGAGGCAGAGGCAGGCAGATCTCTGTGAGTTTGAGGCCAGTCTGGTCTACAGAGCTAGTTCCAGGACAGCCAGGGCTACACAGAGAAACCCTGTCTCGAAAAAAGCAAACAGACGAATGAATGAATGAATGAATGAAGCAGACCCTATAGTGCAGGTCTATAACTCTAGCTGTTCAGGAACTGAGGATCAATACCTGCCTACCTTCAGGGTGAGTTCAAGCCTAGACTGGAAATTTTAATGAGAACCTGTCTCAAAAAGTTTAAAAAAAAAAAAAAAAAAAAAACTTGAGGATGTGGGCCTGGTGGTAGAATGCTTCTCTAGCAGGCATGAGGTCCTAGGTTCAAGCCTTAGGTGGGTAGAAAGGTCATCCTCAGATCTTTATTGTCTACCTGAATGAGCACTAACCTGATGACTCGTCTTGTTGTAGGATCATGTTTTGCTATGTGAAGGTGAAGACTCTAAATCGGACCTGAAAGGTGAGTATATTTCCTGCCTGTTATGCTGGGAGAGTTCCTAGTGGGTTTGACAGACAAAAGGATAGCACCTCTGTGCTTTCCAAGACAGCTGACCAAAGCAAGCATAAGGGAATGGCTAGTGGCTGTTCTTCCAGAGGACCCAGGTTCAATTCTCAACCCCCACAGGGCAGTTCATAGCTATCTGTAACAAAGTTTCAGGGGATCTGGCACCCCCACACAGACATACATGTAGGCAAAACACCAATGCACATTAGATAGATAGACAGACAGACAGACAGACAGACAGACAGACAGACAGACAGAGTGGATAAGGGGTTTAGTGTTTAAAAAAGGCTGGGGTCAGGGCTGGAGAGATGGCTCAGAAGTTAAGAGCACTGACTGCTCTTTCAGAGGACCTGACTTCAGTTCCTAGCGTGGTGGCTCACAGCCTTCTAAAATGAGATCTGGTGCCCTCTTCTGGCGTGCAGGCAAAACACTATATACATAAATAACTCTTTAAAAATTAAAAAGAAAGCTGGGGTCATGAGCATAGTTACTTCTGTAATCTTTTAGGTTTTCTTTTCTGGAGCAGTGGTTCTCAGCCTTCCTAATGCTGCAACCTTTATAACACTTTACTACAGTTCCTCATGTTGTGATGGCCCCACCATCAAGTTATTTTCATCGCTACTTCGTAATTGTAATTTCACTACTGTTAAGAATCATATTGTAAAAATCTGTGTTTTCTATTAGCCTTAAGTGACCCCTGTGAAAGGGTCGTTCAGCTCCCAAAGGAGTCGTGACTCACAGGTGGAGACAGGTGGAGAGCACTGGTCCAGAAGCTCGTTGTGCCAGCAGGAAGGGTAGGAATCCAGAATGCTTCATGAACTTGAGACCAAGTGGGAGCTAGTAGAATTGAGAGCTTACTCAGTGTGCTGTGACGCTTTCAGTTAGTGTAGTTGCTGCCTCTCACAGACAGATATTGGCTTTGTCCTACAGATACAACAAACTTACCCCGAGGAGAGCAGAGCGAGAAGGGAAGCTCAAAAGAAGCAGACCATGCCAAGATAACAGAGCCCACACCTACAGTTGACAGTCATGAGCCCAGACTGGGACCGCGGCCTCGGTCCCACAACAAGGTCCTGAACCCACCAGGAGGCAAATCCAGCATCTCCTTCTATTGAGAGGCTCCTCCTCTGCCTGTACTCAGACCGGAAACTCAGAGATAGGGTATTGAAATGTTAGTGCTTCCTTTAACCCAAATGAGTCGGGGTGGGAGAGGGGTTGTCATGCGTGTGGGGTTGCCTGCTCATAGGCCTGATGCCTTTGGAGGAGCTGCAGAAGGACTGTGCCTTCCAGACTGCCAAGATACACATCTGTGGGGATAAAGTGGGGCGCTCTTACGCCTCGTCTGTAGTTGTTCTGTGTGGAACAGTAAGGTTCTGGGAAGGGCGAAAGAGATGGCACCCGTTAGCAGAAGGCTCATTAGGGTATGTCTCGTCCTTGTATCAACAGTCTGCTGGCTGTTGGGCATCTAAGAATGGTGGTTTGGCTGGGAAAAAAAGAAAAGAGAAAGAAAGGAAAAAACAAACAAACTACCTATCCCTCACTGTGGGATGGAAGAGAAACACATAGACAAAAACTCTTAAAGACAGAGTGAGGTCTACATAGCCTTTCCTTTCAGGGAATGCTTATCACCAAAATGTTTCCACCTCTGAGGTTACCTCTGAGCCCTAGTGTCTCCTTTTCCTTTTGTTCCCCTCAATACGTCACCCTGTAGTGTTGGAATGTGACTGCTCTTTTTGGTAGCAGTCAGCAGAAAATCAAACAGTTGTTCTCAGTCTTGTCCTGAGTGGAAGGTTTGGATGCCCTGATCCTCTGAATTGTAGTCTCCTTCCTGCTCCTAACACCATGGCCAGGTCTAGGTAGCAGCCTGTCTTCCTTTATGGTTGGTTTGATTCCTGCCATGCCAGGTTTGCATATGGGTTGTTCCTTTTGTTTCTCCCATCAGCCTTGAGTCTAACCTTAGTTCCTCACCGTGAGGGCTCTTGCTATCTGTGGTTCTTCCTGTACATAAGGCCTCAACCTCTGCAGGGTTTTAAAGACTACTCAAATATGTCCAGGTATTGGGTGAATTTTTGATTTTCCCGTCTGTTCCTGTAGTTGGGAGGAAGACCTGCTGAAGAACACTGGGTTGGGTGGGTTTCTTTAGCCATCTGCAGAGGTATTGTTAAGATCAGCAGCTTATGAATACCCATGGACTGTGCTTCTAACACCTAGAAAACATCACTGTGTACACCAAAGCAGAAGAGTGGCCTAAGCCACCTTTAGAAAGCTTCAGACTTCTTAACCTTGTTCGTGAACAGTGCCCCTCAGGCCTGGATAGTGAGTATTTTGGCAATAAGGTCACGACTGTCATCTGACAGCAGAGATCCTGGCTCCACAGCCATGCTACCTGCTGCCCGGTCTTTCATGTCAGGCATATCTCCGTCCTGTTCCGTCTTTAAGGGCTGCAGCCTTAGTTCCTTGGTTCCCGCTTGTGGGCGTCTGTGAAAGGGCTCCTGAGTGGTGCTACAGAGCTTTATAGCAGATGCCAGAAATGTCCTCTTCAGAGTTTGGGGAAGCAACAGTTCTGCAGTCACGCTCATTGGCCTAGATGCTAAAGTGCCTGCAGGAGCCCCTGCGGGGTTCTGCTTCCAGCACCTGGTTCATTGAGGGCTTTGACCATGGCTTTGTCAACCAAAGAGTTTATACCTTTCTGCTGCCCTGTTTCCTGAAGCCAAGAAACATGTATTACATGTATGTAATTCTGTAACAACTCAAATGGGTTGTGGTTAAGTCATGAGGATGTCATTTGGAATTCAGAGTATGTTTTCCATTTAAGAAAATGTCATAAATGTTTGCTTATTTTGCCCAGACTCTAACATCTTTAACTTATAAGGAAATGATACAATGATAGAAACAAACCTCCTTTTGTAACTGCTTTCTTAAGTAGAAAATGATTTGTGAGTTCCAAATTGCATTGTCAATAAAAAAATCTGACATCACTGTGCTGGCCCTGCTGCTGGTCCAGCGAGAGAAGAGCTCCAAGACCACTTGCTGGCCTGGATGGCTGAGAGACTATGGGAACCTGAGACAGTGACCCATAGCAGCTGCCTTACTCGCTCCTCTTTCTCTGAAACTGGGCCCAGAGCATGGCCAGTCTGCCGCCCAGGAAGAGGCCCTGCCCGGCTAAATCCAGTGGAATACAGTTCTCACACCTGCATTAGCCTTAACACTTTGTTTAAGTGCATTTGGTGCCAACATTTTTCTAGCACTATGTCAGAGCAAGAAACCTGTCCTTACATCATAATGCGATTTTATAGGAATGTTTTGTTATTTTTATGAGACAAAACGGGGTATAATGGTTGAATTAAACTTAGTAACCACATACTTAAAGCCTGTGTGTATTTGTGTAAACACGCTCCTCCATTTTGTGTGTGTGTGTGTGTGTGTGTGTGTGTGTGTGTGTTTGAGAGGGAACAATGCCTAAACTATGATCCTTTTTCATGGTTTTCTGCTTACAAAGATGACTCCTCCATTCCTTGGTCTTGATCCAGAAATGCCCGAGATAATCATCTCTAAGATTTGGGCAGAATTAATGGGCAATATTCTGTAATGTACTATCTAGTTTTCTGTAGTTGAAGTGTATTCTCTAGGACAAGTGGTGTGGGCAAACTTAACCTGTTCCAGATTGACTTTGAAATAACCCAGTAACAAGTCTTGCAGTGACAAGGTGGAGTGTCCAACTAGCTTTGTTGAGAAAATACGGGTTGGATGTCTTTCCTTTGTGTGTATCATCTGTTTTCATATGGTCGCCCAAACTCCATGTCCTCGTGTGAATTTTACAGATCATGGCAGAGTGTCTGCCTGCTTGGTGAGTCTCTGAAGTTTCACATCATTCTGAATGAGGGATCAGTTTATGATATAACCAATGCTTCACAAGCCAGGAGTGATGGCACACATCTTTATCCCAGCTCTTGGGTGGCAGAAGCATGCAGATCTTTGAGTTCAAGGACAGCCAGGGCTACACAGAGAAACCCTGTTTTAGGTAGGTAGGTAGTGTTAGGAATAATTCCAATCAGACCAAATAAAGAATGCCCACGTTTAATAAATGCAGTGCTCCCGGGTGGCCGGGAGCATTGGCTTGGGGTGACAACCATGCAAAACCCGAAGACCAGCCGTGGGCCATGATACCACAGCAGGCCACGAAGGCAACCAGTCCCAGGCAGTGAGCCCCCAAAGTGGCTAGTGGGCCATGAGGGCTAGCTGGTCTTAGGCAGGAAGCCATGTGGCGGGTGGGAGACTTAGATGGATAGGCATGCCATGCAGAATGAGGTTGGATATTTATCTAGTGGGTTATGGAAGGGAAGGGGAGAGGGAGGGAGAAGGGGGATGAGGAAAGAAACGGGGGGGGGGGGTCCTGGAGGTGCATGGCAGCAGATACATCTTTGGGAGAGAAACAGAAAAGGGGCTCTGGCTGCAAGCAGGGAGGAAGATCTGCCTGCCTAGGTGGTGGGCAGGGGAGGGAGGGGGCGGGGCTTGTCTCTTAAAGGGACAGGACAGACCATTATAGGTAGACTCACTTCACAACAAAAACCAATGTGTGTTATCTGAAACAACTTGCTTGTCCACACGTAATTAGAAATGTAGTGAGTTCCATGAACTAGGTTAGAAACGAGATACAGTATCATGTGTTAGCAACTGTTCCATCCCTGGACAGGCACTAAAAGATCCAGAGGCTAGATAGCTGATTCCCCTTGGTTCTTCCTGTGCTGAATTAGGAAGTGAAAGTATCACAGTTGCCATCTCAAGTCTTGTTCTTAAGTAGAAATAGTACTGGAATCACATGGTTTTTTGTGTTAGCTCCTAAACTAACTCTATTCCTAATTATCTATTCTGGTAGATCAATCATGAAATATTCTGGTCTTAGTTATAACCATGTAGTGCTATCTGAAATCCAGTTCATGAAAGGGAGGCCAGGCGGTGGTAGTGCGTCCCATTAATCCCAACACTCAGGAGGCAGAGGCAGACAGGTCTCTGTGAATTCAAGGCCAGCCTGATCTACAAAGTGAGTTCCATAGCTATTGGGAAGCTTTGTCTCAAAAAAAAAAAAAAAAGTGAAAGGAACATAACAGATTATTTGGGCTTTGACTGACATTGGGTACAGGATTAAAGTAGGGGTTTTGACATGTGTTTTCTATCTTTGTGATAAAAGGCAACTTACAGAAGGAAGTGTATGTCCGGGCTTACGGTTCCATAGGTATGAGGCCATCACCATCATTGCAGGAAGCATGGCAGCAAGCTTGAGGGTGGAGAAAATAGCTCACATTAAATCTAAAGATGGAGCTGGGCGGTGGTGGCGCAAGCCTTTAATCCCAGCACTCAGGAGGCAGAGGCAGGCGGATCTCTGTGAGTTCGAGGCCAGCCTGGTCTACAAGAGCTAGTGCCAGGACAGGAACCAAAAAGCTACGGAGAAACCCTGTCTCGAAAATCAAAAATAAATAAATAAATAAACAAACAAACAAATAAATAAATAAATCTAAAGTTGGCCCCAGTAACATAACTCTAAACAAAACCACACTTCCTGAGCCTCCTAACATGGCATAGCATCATCAACTGGGAGTCCAGGATTCAAAGGCCTGAGGCTATGGAGGGACAGTGTCTTTCACGTTAGGACCTTTCAATGGGACGAAATATTCTAATATAGCTTCCAACATCCAGGATCAGGAAAACTATACTATTCAATAAGTGTCATTTTGTTAAATTTCAATTACAGGAGCTGGAGAGAATACTTGATGCTTTTGCAGAGGAATTGAGGCCAGTTCCAAGCACCCAGGAAGGGTGCCTCACAACCACCAGCAACCAGCTCCAGGGGATCTGATGGCCTCCATTGGATGGGAGCCTGCATCCATAGGCACATATCTACTACATAGAATTTTTTTAAGATTTATTTATTTATTATGTACACAGTGTTCAGCCTCCATCTACGCCTGCAGGCCAGCAGAGGGCACCAGACCCCATTACAGATGGTTGTGAGCCACCGTGTGGTTGCTGGGAATTGAACTCAGGACCTTTGGAAGAGCAGGCAATGCTCTTAACCTCTGAGCCATCTCTCCAGCCCCCTACTACATATAATTTTAAAAATCATTTTTTTTTGTTAAATATTTATTTATTTATTTA